TATAATAAGAACTTACTAACTTTTTAGTTTAAAATTATATATAACTATTTAATTAAATAGATCTCTATATAAAAATAAGATTTAGAAGTTATTTAGATATTTATATTAGTTCTAAGATTTAGATATAATAGAGATATAAGAATATATATATTATATCTAAAGAGCTATAAGTTAAAATCTACTTATTAATTTAGCTAGATTAGATAAATTAGCTATTTTTCTATATTTATAGAAAAAGATATACTTTTTACTTTTTTTTATTTTTACTTTTAAAAATTCTTTCTTATAAAAGATATATCTTTTATAATCTTATAGTAGTTATAATTAGTTAATTAATTAGTTATAAATATAATCTATTTAATTAAATAAGAATATATATAAAACTTAAAACCTCCTTTTTATAGCTATTATAGAAAATTATTAGATTTTAATATAATTAGTAGTCTGTATTTTAAGCTTACTAATAGCTATAGTATTATTTGTTTTTCCCCTAATATACTATTTCTTCAGAAAGATGGGAATAGAGATCCAGTCGGGTGAGGAGTGAAAGTAAGAATAGTTCAAGGACATGGACGCGAGAGAAACGCCATCTATCATCACCATGCACTCACGTTTCCTCGATACTGTGTTTTCAGTGTAGGAGCTAAGATGAAAGTGCTAGAGCAAACTAATCAGAACAGCGATAGCTAAGCCTAATAATTAATCTTCAAAGCATGGAATCACCGTAAAATGATGGACCCCAGTTCTTCTGTTTAATAAGACCGACACTAGCACCATTAATAAGAAATGGGTCACACTATGATGCTGCCTGGCCTTCTTGTTGGGACCTTTGCTGTTGGGGCCCCAACAAACTCCTGAGTCTTTGATATTGTCTTCCTTCAATAAGCTATGATTAAATGGATAATGCCGACATCTGCCTATCTGACGCTGTCTCTAGCCAATAAGTGTCCTTGCCCAAGAAATCCTAACTTAGTGTTAACGGACGTTGACCATGACCGAGAATCGCGTGTTTGCCACGGGCGAGCACGTTTTCCAAATTGGCGATAATTCCACGTTACATTATACGGTTCATGGGACTGGTCCGTTAATTATCGTTCTCCCCCCAGCATGGGGAATTGGATCTCAGTATCTTCAGGATGGGCTCGCGTCGCTGTACGGGAGCTACACATTGTTGTTTCTCGAGCTTAGAGGAAATGGAAAGTCCAGCAGGCCTCCTCCATCGCAAATGACAAGTTGGCATCTTGCCGAGGATGTCGAGTTTCTGCGCCAGGAACTGAAACTTGAAAGGATACCATGCCTTATGAGCCATTCTGGGGGTGGGACCGCGGCACTATGGTATGCGATCAGGTTTCCCGAAAAAGTCGAGAATCTTGTTCTTTTAAATCATCAACTCGAGGGTTTTGATGACTCTGAGTCAATGAAGGCTATAGTGCAGCAGAAACAAAAGGATCCTGAACTGCGACCGGCTCTCGACGCCTGGACTGCCTCGTGGGACGATGCCTCTGATGAGGAGTTCGCGACATTCTTTCGAACATTTCTTCCAGTGTATTTCTACGATCCAAACAGCTGTGACAAAGTGCCTTCGCTCAAAACGATATCTCACATACCAGTGTGGAATTACCATCTGTTGCATGGAAAGAATGCATCTCAAAGGAGTCAAGAGACTGAGCTGGATTTAGTGAAGGCGCGAACGTTGCTCATTTTCGCGACAGACGATCCAATTTGCACACCGACGCAAGGAACGGCAACTAAAAATGCCATTACTGGTTCTAAAATGGTGGTGTACGATAAGTGCGGGCATTTTCCTTGGGTAGAGAAGGAGGAGGAGGTTATCAAAGATCTTCAAGAGTTCTTCCCAGGGATTCATTCTTTGCACTAGAAATACAGTGTTCCATGAAAGAGGAGTCTTAGATTTAATACTTCTTTCACTCGCTATTACTCGCGTGTTCAAAAGCTCTACTTCTCCTCGCGATTTGGTGATGCTATCTTGCCGCTATTCCGCTACTAGAGGGAATGACAGCCTCTCATAATGCGATCATCTCGCGTAAATCACTGCTAATTCTAAGGTGTTTTTCGTCACTAGAGATTCTTGGGAGTAAAAAGGCACTTGCTGTACATGAGCCAAGCTCTGCTTTATCCGTTAGCCAGGGCTTATTCGCAGCTCAAGAGGGTAAGGCGACTTTCATCTCCCGAGTAGGGCGCTAGGCTTTCCACGGTCGACAGCCGGTACGGTCTGGGCAGGCAGGCTTTGGCGAGAAGCAGGATCACTATCCCTGAACTATCTTGGCCGTAGAAGTAGGAGTCAGCTTCAAAGTTCTTCCTACAACTACCTGTAGTTTTAGCCCAAGATTGAGTAGTATAACTATCAAATACATATGGAAATAACCCAGAGCTTGCAGTTGTATCCAATAACACATCCTAAGATATGCCCATCACAATTCATTTCGCTGTTTTCCAAGCCTCTTACCAGCCAATATAGTAAAAATAATGCCCCGGAGTCTGCCCCAAGCATATGTGGTTCCAATAGACAGGGATCTATCGTTACATCGGGCACAATATGAGGCGGTGTTCCAAGTGTCGTGCGCCAAGTCCTACTCTATCGTAGATATCTTAAAGACCGCAAGGTGGTACGGTTTTCTCGGATACTGCATTTTTGTCTATCTCACAGACCCTTATTATCGACGAAAACCAATCACAAACGATCACCCGAGCTGCAAGTAATATCATGTCTACCGCCGGCTCTGTTACGCGCATTCCTGACCCTGGCCGACCGTCTACCCAACTTCGGCCAGCTGCTCTGTACTATCCAGACACTACGGCGACATTCCATGCCTCCGTGTTCAAATACAACCACAACGAATATACTCAGACCTTGGTTGTCAACTGCGCCACTTCTTGTGGCTCTGATGGCATCCCCGAGCAAACCCTCACGGTTAAGATTGATAAAACATTATCATTCGCTGGCAATCATGTTTTGTCAGGCAGTCGCACCGCCTGGGGGTTTGGAGCGACAGGTGGTCAGGACACCTCGTTCAGTTATGCCGCCACCACAGTCAAGGACGGTGAAAAGTTCGACCTCCCAGTGAGTTCAACGGAGGTCCCAGCCTGTTTCGTGGCGTCACGCCTTCAAGTGGTCACAGTGACCACGGGCCTCGACAGAATCTACGGCTGGGGTACCTACAACGATAACTCCGACTTTATGACAACATGGAAGGAACGTGTAATGTCTAGTCTCAGCTGCACTGCTTCTACAGAGCACAGCGCAACACAGACTGGGGGCACATCCGCATCTGGAGTCGTCGAGACGGGCTCAAAGACAACAACAGCTGGGGCAGCCACAGCAACGAATTCTGAGGGTTCCAGTGGCCTACTGCAGGCACCAATAGGCCTGTTGATGCTTTTCTTAACCTCTCTCATTTGGCTCACTGTCTGAAGAGAAGTTTTACCTCACAATACAGTCGATGGTTGTTGTTATAGTAAAGAAGCCGATCGCAAATTGCAATGCAATAGTGTAATTTTTCTGGCATGGCTGATTCACCATCCTCTTTATTTCTTCAATAAGAGCTTTATTGTGAATAATAGTATCATATTCAATCTAGAAAGCACCCTTCTCTAAAGTCTATGTTCTCCTCGTCTGAGGAGTCTAAAATAGCATCTCGATGCGGCGGCCCAAGACTTTCGCTCTTAGTAATTGATATCGCTGTTCAAGGAAGGTAGAAAGCGAGCCCAGGTAGATGGGTAGGTCTGGGTTGTCCTCTAGTCCTGCTCTGGATTGGCCTGGATGGATTATCCATTCGTCAATTACCTCCATCATGCTGTAAGAGGGAAAGCATAAAGGCATGTAGCTAATTGATTTTCTACACTTTCTCAGTTTTCACTGCTCCGCACCTAGTACGAGGAGAAACGAATGTGCTAGTACAATTACCTTGGGAGCTTGTAAGCCCGAGCCTTTTGTTCCACTCGCTCGCTTACTTGCCTTTTATTCACAACTACGACATTCTATCAAATAAATACCGTACCGTAGCAACGGGCTTGACAAAGATCGAATATTTTTGCTCATCCATCAGACAAAAACGCGAGGCGATAATTGAGTGATGTACATGCTGTATTCTTACGATAGGGGAAGAATGGTACATTAAATCATCTCAACGGTCCGAGAGAATCGTAGGTGTCAATTCGCTACAGAAATGAAGATAGTCCTTCAGGCCGCCTGGTTGAAATCGTAGCTGTTTCCGAATCCTCGTCCCAAATACGTCCTCAAAGTCTCCTCGGTAGGCTTCCAGTCCACGGGCACTTGCAATCCGAGTTTTCCATCTCGCTCTAGCTGTTCAATAATGGGCCTCACATCCTCGGCTAGTTCTAATCTCATGGGGTTTCTATACCATGGGGCAAAGTGAATCATAGCCAGCATGACCCTCGTTTCAGGGGTGTAGTTAGGCATTCCTGCGTGCCACAATCTCAAGTCACGAATAATGACACTTCCCTTGTTAATTGTTGGTTGTATGGGTGGCGAAATCTTCTCCCTCTCCCTTAAAAGGTGCTCTTGGATCCGGCCGCTGGCGCGGTCTCCGTGTGCGCCCTCCTGAGCTTCGATCCCGTAAGGTGTGTGTGTTCCAAGCCAGAGCTCGGTGGAGCCGTTCTCGGGTTTCGTGGCGACTAGAGGAACGTTGACCACCAGAGCGAACGGGTTAGGTGGATGGGCGAAATCTGCGTCCGAGTGTACAGGCTGTCGCTGAGGTTCGATATCAGGAGTTTTGCCTACGGCTGAGTTGGCTGAGCAAAAGGTCCACTTAGGTCGTGGCCCCAGGACGGCTGTGGTGACTTGAGTGGCCAAGGGGTCTATTCTCTTTGATCAGTGCCTCCTCTCTTAAGATTTGTCTTGGTGAGACTTACTGGTGAAAACCTCTGGGAAGAAGTATTTGGCGACCGGAGGGGCATCTTGCTGCAAGTTGCCCTTGTTGTAATTGAATGGGCTTTTATCACCAAGAGACTGAAGAGTTCTAGTGTCCTCGACCATTTTCTCGTTTAAAGCATCAAGCTTCTCACGTTGAATGGCATCTTCAATGACGACAAGGCCATCTTCATATAGAGCCCGGACGGCAGTCTCCAGATTTCTCTCATCAAGACGCTGGTTGCGAATCTCAGACAAGGATGGGTTGACAGCGGTAGGCATGCGAGAAGTGCCAACCGTTGCAAAGGTTCGTCGGCCCGTGAATAGGGAGGAGAGTGCTCGAGATCGAATGCAGAGCATCATGATAATGTGCAGCGTTTGTGCTTTGCTCACGAACGGGAGATAGAAACTTGACAGGATATTGTTTAATTACATCAGAGCATGCCCGATCTTATTATGGTATATATAGGCATCCAGAGCCCGCCATCCTTACCGTTGGGAAAACTTTCTATCCAAACCAAGCAAGGCGTGGTGATTCCCGAGCCCGGAAAATCCTTCCGCATAGCGCTTAGCCCGTGAGCTCACCCGGGGAAGACTTCCAAGCCGATTCCAAATTACCCACAAGCCGTTCCACAGGCCAGCCAATCGTCTTCTTGCATGCAAGCAACTGTCGTTTTAGCTCGTAGCGGGCTGGCTCGTCATTGATGAGTCGGGCACCTGTATGATTTGATACAGCGTCAGCCTACGCACTCAGGGATTGCCAAGCGTCTTCCATGGTCAGCAGACCACACTCACAGTAAGCCATCGGCCCGAAGGCATTGACGAGGACGGTGGGGATCTTGGACGAAAAGGCAATGCCGCAGATGTCAAGTGCAATGTTATGCAGGAATTGTTGCTTGGTTAGCGGGGCGTTGTCTCTGGGGAAGGCATCGATGGCTTTCAACCCATCCAGTCGCTGGGCATCGGGCAGATGGAGGGTAAGGATGGTCAGCGTGACAAGGTAGTAATGCATCGTTGAGCCTGAATTGGAGTATCCCGAGTTAGCAGCATTTCCCGAGAATGTCTGATTGGAAATATTACTGTGTGATTCGTGGAGAAAGTAGATGGATGGCAGTGGATTCGGTGTGCCCACAATCGCGGGTCGCCGAGAGAAGGGACCCAGTCGGTCCGGCCGCGCTTTGATCCATTCATGGGTCATGGAGAAGGCAGCTTCCCATTCTTCTTCCGTGAGTGGGCGCTGGAAGGCGATGTTGATAATCTTGCCGAGTATCAAGGAGATGGAGTTCAGGTAGTCTGGGTCTGTTTCGTGTGATGTGATCAGAGTCAATGGATCCAGGTCCATCTTGAGGGGACACTGCTCGAAAAGACTGAATGTGATATCCTCGCGCAGGTAATTCCAAAAGCCAGCAGTGAGCAGACTTCTGCTCCGTAAATTGAGGGCATTTTGGTGAGAGACCATTGAATAAGCACCCCGAAGATGCACGTTAGGATCCGTATCGCCTGAAGGATACCGCATGTCAATTAACACAAAATTCCACTGTATAATTTAATTTCAAAATCAATCAATTGTATTACCATCAAGAATTTCATAAGACCGCAATAGACAAGTGGCCGCAAGGGCCTTGCCTGTGAAGACGTGTTCGTCCTCGCGGTTGAGGGCGATGAGCAATCGGACACACCGATGATGATACGACTCGGCTATCTTCCGTAGCTTTTTGCCACTGACTCTACACATGTGCATAGCAGAGAGTGCAATAGCGGCAGAGAAAAGCAAGGGTTCGTCGAGGGCGAGTGCAGGGACTGCGATGCCAAACGTCAAGGCAGAGTCACTAAGATCATACCACGGTGCCAAGAACCGGATATAATGCTCAAATAGCTGGGCGATTTCGAGGTTTTTCAGTGCATCTCTTGCGGTCAACGGCTCGGAGTCATGACGCACTGGTGTTGACTCAGCTTTAGCTAGATGATCCCCATGAGATGAAGAAGCCGTGAGTTGCTTACCAAATTGAGCAGGCCTTTGCGATCGGTCACAGTACCGGCCAGACTTGTCGCACTGGCGACAAACGGGGAGTTCCTGGGTACCTAGTCCCAAGCAGTCAGCATATCAATCGACTCAGGATGATGGAGAGCGGTACATTTCAATTTGCGTTGGCGGCACGTGTTGCTAATAATGGCATCGGGCATGAGCTTGGCATGACATATCATTGAGAGCAAAGCAACTCAAGCCTACCAAGATTCCTTTTTCAGTGGACGTGGCATCGTCTTTGAGCCACCCCGAGGTGTTAAACTGGCGGCGATCCAACTCACAGTCAGTGGCTCAACAAAGATTGATTTTCGTGTTAAGTCTTTGGGCGCGAAGGCGATCTACGTCTTCAGCCCAGGCCAATAATAAGACAGGGGCATCAAGTAGTGTGCATTATGTAAGATTCTCTCTCCGATCTCATGGTTGGGGTAAAGGATCAATATTGATTATTGCTACCCTACGGTCATCACAATTGCTACAAACTTGACCTCTTCACCATCTCTAAACACAGACTGATGTATATAAGACTAGGCTTCCTATCTACTATTAGCTAATGATAGGTGTGATAATAACTCTTCTCACTTGTTCCATATGAGAGGTGGGTTATGAACGCGTAGTACGTGAAGATCCTGGTGTGTATGAGGAGCTCAACGCTCACACAAGTGGGACGTATGCTATATCTTGGCGGAGAGCTTAAAAAGTCGGAATCACTCATCAATTATGCCTTGATCCGGAAGATTTTCCTCGCCTCTGAGTTTCGTGCTAAATTGCCTAGAAATCATTTTGGGGGTTTACAAGAAACCCACCTCTCATGAGGATAGGCCAAGTGTGGATGTGGGAGGGCACAGCTGTGGGGGTGTTGTGTTGGTTCCGAACATTCCGACCGTTCCGATGAGTTCATGAGTCAACCTTAATTTAGACCCTGGCATTCTGCAAACCCTCACCCCTCCATCGGTCGCACCGGCCCAATGATAAGGAGGGATCGGTTAGTTTCAAAACTATTACCAAGGATTTTGACAAGGTGTGTCATTATTGACATGTGGTCATTGTACGTTCACGAACCGAATACCCAACGAAGGTCTGGAGACGTAGAGAACCATGGCTTCATCACCGGGCTTCCCTGGCCATGACTTGATGTTTTTCTCTAATGTAAAATTAAAAATTATATGTATCCAAATGAGCGGTCATCTGTATCTGTATGGTTGGATTACACTCTATCCGAGATGGCAAAATTCTAGTGGAGAAAGCCAGTTATCCCGCATGAGGCACCCCTCCCCTATTCAAGCCAGAGCATCCCAACTCCTCCTACCTAGTAGAAAGTTCCACACACCTTCCATCTCAGGGCGTGTTATTTTAGTGCTGATTCAGCGGGAGAATGTCAAAAATGACGATCCAAGGGCGTGAGTGACCAGCATCATTATCCATATAAGAATCTCAACAACCTATCTTCAAAGGATACACTATCGGCACAGCTGAACTCTGAACACTATCACTCAAGTTCGATAACTCAAATCATACTCTTGCACTATGTCTCAACAACAACAAAAGCCCGGCATGACAGCTGATCAATTCCGGAAGGCTGCTCATTCTGTCATCGAAGAGAGTGAGTCGTAGAAAGAGAACTCACCTCTACTGTCACTAACAGGAGATAGTCATATCCTACAACGAAAACATTGCGCAATATAGCGTGCTACCCACAGTGAAGCCAGGGTATCTTGCTCCCCAGTTACCAGATTCAGCACCTGAGAACCCGGAATCATGGGAGAATATTCAGCCAGACATTGCCGAGAAGATCATTCCCGGTTTAACCCATTGGCAGTCTCCAAACTTCATGGCATATTTCCCTGGCTGTTCCACCTACCCGTCTCTACTTGGAGAGATGTATTCCGCTGCCTTCAGTGCCCCGGCTTTCAACTGGCTGTGTAGCCCCGTTTGCACCGAGCTCGAAACCGTTGTGCTAGATTGGGTTGCAAAAGGCCTATCTCTCCCTTCGTCTTACTACTCAGATTCGCCGTCGGGAGGAGGTGGCGTTATCCAGGGATCGGCTTCTGAGGCTGTCGTAACTTGTATGGTCGCTGCCCGGGAACGATATCTGCATGCAAAGTGCGATGCTGAGGGCCTCGAGAATCCTTCCCCGGAACGTGACGCCCGAATTGCCGGTTTGCGTCCAAAGCTTGTAGCTTTGTTCTCGGACCAGGCACACTCTTCGACCATGAAGAGGGCGAATATTGCAGGCACCTTGCACTTTTCGATTGTCACATCACGAGACAATGCTCTTGCTGTTACTGGCAACGACTTGACTCGCGCTCTGGAGAAGGTCCGGGCTGAGGGTTTAGAGCCCTACTTTATCACCCTATCGATCGGAACGACTTCCACATGCGCGATTGACGATTTTGAGTCTCTCAAGCCCATCTTCGACCTGTCTGAAAATGCCCAGATCTGGAAACATATCGACGCCGCGTATGCTGGTACTGCCCTGTTCTTACCAGAGTACGCCAAGCCTTTGGCCCCGTTCACCGCCATGGTAGACTCCTTCAACACGAACCTCCACAAATGGCTTCTCGTCAACTTTGACGCCTCCTGTCTTTTCGTGCAGAACCGTAATCACCTGACACGAGCTCTATCAATCTCCGCGCCATACTACCAGAACAAGCACTCTGACTCGGGTCTCGTCACTGACTACCGCGATTGGCAGATCCCGCTTGGCAGACGATTCCGAGCGCTCAAGATCTGGTTCGTCATGCGTTCCTACGGGCTCTCAGGGATACGCGAGCATCTTACCCACACATGCAAGCTGGGAGACTTGTTTGCGGACCTGGTGCGCTCCAGGTCTGACCTGTTTGAAATCGTTGCTGAGCCGCGGTTTGCGCTTACATGTTTCCGGGTTAAGCCCAGCGCCCTGCCTGCCTCTACAACTTCCGCTCTTACTAACGGGGATACCTCTGAGGCTGAGGCAAATTCTATAACACGTCAGATAACAGACCGTATTAATGCCGAAGGCACCATTCATATCATCGGTAGCAGTGCGGCGGGGCAGACGTTCATGAGAGTTGTCAGTGCTAACTCGAATGCCGAAGAGAAATACGTTAGAGGTGCTTTTGAGGTCATTGTGAAAATTACAGAGGAGGCGTTGAAGGAGAGAGGGGAACAGTAACGGGGAGAACTCAAAATAGAAATTGAAATTCGAGTAGAAAGAACTCATAAAATGCCTAATTCAAACCAGGTTTTGACAGTGAAGATGAATATTCTTATTAGAAACAATAAGGTCTCCCTATTTAGTCACAAAACTCGACAATTTTGCTAGCCATTCTCTTCATGGCAGGTTACATGCCTTGACCAAAAGCTGTGTGAAAATTAGAGACGTTACTTAGGCCTAATAGCTCTTACATTCCTCACCAAAATGACATTCCGTGAAATACCAATCCATCATTCCTGTCGTTGGTAATCCAGGGGCTGGGAGCAGTCGCGAGAGGGCTAAAAACCGATTGACTACCTAAAATCCTCAACCTCTAACTTGGGGAGAGTTGAAAATACCTATATCTAATATGACGGCACATTTTCAATCATAAAGACATGATCACATGCTAGCGGTGAGCGTAATACTTTTGGTGTTCACCTACTAAGCCGAAGTTGCTATATTTAGCCTCTCTTGGCAAATGTATTTTTCTTTTCTACTAGCGTTGGTACTAGACATTGTGTGAGTTTACTACTTTAAAAGCATTGTTCAAGTGGAAATCCGGGTATCAGTGCACTATAATATGACGTAGAAGGTGACAGTAATGTTCCTGGTCCGAGGTCAGACTTGACCCCATCTAAGACGCAGAAGAGCTCAACCTCGTATGGAAAGGAGATGAGGCACAGCACCCAGTATTTATTATCAATCACGAGCCTAGTATGCATACTAAGATGCGCGTTTTTTTATCAATCTAATCAAATATGGGCACAGTCCTCGATCAGCTCCCCCACTTGATCCCTAAAACGGCAGAACTAGGACAGACTATTAATCAGGCCACAGTGCAGGTTTTTGCTTGGTCCCGGATTGTCTTGGTCTTCATTGTGTCCCAATCCCTTTGGGTTTCTCTTGATCATTCTTCATTGCACGTTATCTCTTAAAAACATGTCTTCCAAGGCGTATCCCGAAGGTGGCACAGTGCTGCAGACTTTCAAGCAGGCCTTCACCGATGTGGCCGTTGACACAAATAACAAGGTCGATACGACGCAGTTTCTTGAGGCCGCTGAGAGTTGGACGACGCTCTTCGGTATTTCTACGCATCGAGTCCCATCGGAGTGAGCAATAACTGATATCCTGGATCCCAAGATTCTATTGCCGCAGTTGCCTTCTCGCCTGTGAAGAAGGACATGCTATTCAATGTCGGGGTTTGTACTATTCAACTTGATTGGCACGATTGAAGAACAATTCACTTACATGGTGATCTTTCAAGAGAATCCGTGAGCAGCAGACCGCTGCTCCGGCCGAATCCACCACCCTTCAGGATCTTGTTGAGCACGAGCTTAAATCAAACAAGCAAAACGCAGCGGATGGCTTACTGTGGCTCATCCGGTAAGTCTACCATGTCACGCAATCTGAGGTTTACCGATTTGCTAACCGTCTTTTCTCATATTGCACTCCCAATAGTGCCATTGACTTCACGCTCCGCGCTTTAAAGCGTACGGTTGACAACCCAAAGGAGGAGCTAGCCGAGTCGTTTAGAGCCTCGTATAAGGAAACCCTCAAACCGTATCACCCGTTCTGGATCAAGCCTGTGTTCACGGCATCCATGTCTCTTTGTCCCTACCGAGCGGCCTTCATTGCCAATCTAGGGGATGATGCTGAGAAGGCCACCTCGGAACTGAAGATGCACCTTGAGGCTCTATCTCAGATCATCAATATCTTGAGCCCATTTATTGAGGCCAAGGCTGCAAAGAAATGGAAATAAGTTGGGGATGTCAGGCAGTGGATAACGAGACTTAGTGGCTAATTTTATACATGACTGTACTCTGGCTTATTGGATGATCTGCCTTAGGTGCAGCTTTCTTATCGCGAATACCGGCTATATGTCCTAGTTGTCTTAATTCACTCCCAATCTCGAACCTCGACTTCCGCCCGTGGAGTTTGAAGAAGCTGCATGTACATCTGACTAGGTGTTCATTTAGAGGAGATCTGGGCAAAGAAAGTTTATATTTAACTGTGACTCTGAAAAATTTATTTCCCTTCATCTTCCCTTTTTGTTTCGCCTCTAAGATCACTCTTGTGTCTCTATTTTGGACAATTCTCCCCTCCTCTTCCTATGGAGCAAGACAGCAAACCAGGGGAAACGCACACACTCTTATTCTTAGATCTTGGGGTAACACTTGTGGCGATCTTCGGCCTCCTTCCAGCCAACACACTTATAGCAAGACAAAAGGTTCTTGGGGTCAACCTCATTCTTAATCTTGAGAAGACGGTTGTAGTTTTCTTGGCCCCAGTAGCTCTCAATGTGGTTGGGCTCAAAAGTATCACCCTCTCCCATGTACGTGCCTCCATTGGGCGTGATCTCACGGATCTTGTCCATATCCTTACTCACATCGCTGAAGATCTTAGTAAGAGCCTCGGACGAGGTCTTTGTGGCGTCAGCCGGGTCAAAGATTGTCTGGTAAACCAGGTGCCACGGTGAGTTTCGCTGCAATAAGTGTCAGTACGCTAAGAGTGAAAGAATATGTGCATCAGTGGGATGAAACTTACCCAGACAGGAGTTAGGGCGGACTGGCCAACATTTCCAGTCTTGTCGGATTCTGCCAGCTCATGCGCAGAAGGGGTAACGAGAAGAGCTCCATAGATGCCCTTCTGCACAAGGATGTCGACAAGGGCTTTTTGGGTCTTCTCGTCTTCGAATGTCTCCTTAGGGACGAGTCTAGATGACTGAGCAATCATAGATCCGATATCCTTAGATCCAAAAGCGATGGACTCAGGTGTCCTCTGGAAGGCAGCCTGGCTGGGAAGACTGGTAATATTCTTGCGATAGGCAATGGCACCACCATTCGAAACTGAGTCGAAGTACTCATAGATTGGCTTGAGGGATTCTTGGGCCTGCTCAACACTGATCAGAGGGGTGATACCGATGAAAAGGACGGTGTTGCCGGCACCAAAGCCTAGGTAACCACCCCAGCCCTCTTGTGCCCATTTGTTGGCGTTTTTTACGAAGATTTCGGTAATTTCTTGAGAGCCGGTTGGAATGGCCATGGCAAGACTGGCAAACTTGAAGAACAACCACCATTAGCCTTTACTTCGTTTAGAGATAGGTCTGTCCACCAATAACTTACCGTGAAAGCAGTGTCCTTATGAACTTTAGTCGTAACCTCCGTAACGACACCGAATGTGCCACCTCCACCACCTCGCAGGGCAAAGTAGATGTCCTGGTTCTGGCATCTGTTTGCAGTCACATATGTTCCATTGGGAAGGACTACCTTCATCTGCATGTTATTGTCAACACCCAGACCGTAAGTAGGCGAGTAAGGCCCATGGCCGCCTCCCTGGATCCATCCGCCTGCAGCGCCAACCGTTGGGCATGTGCCGCCCACAACCTGTATGAACACGATCGTTAATACTTTTCAGCTCTTCTTGCTTCATTGGTATTGATATCAACCGTACTAGATAGCCAGAGCCCTGGACAAAGTTATAGACACCAGCCCACATTTCGCCGGCGCCGTACGTAACTGCAGCTCCAACGGGTTCGTTGCAACCTTCGGGAGTGAATTGTTCATCCAAGGTAATATCCTTACGGAGGTTGTGTGTCCTAAAGATGAGTTTAGTCTAGGTCACATAAAAATGTCGAACGTCGAGCATCAGCCGCAGACGATGAAGACGTACCAGATTCCAAAGGTGTTTGGGGCGGCGCTTCGACCCTTGTAGTCGTGACCGGTGTTCTTGATTGTGATGGGAAGATCATGCTCGTTGGCAAAGCTCAGAGCGGCCTGAATATCTTCGACGCCGGAAACTTCAACGTAATAGTCGGGCACGCTTCCCTGGTAGCAAGTACCCTGCTTAGGGTTCTCGAGAATGCTAGGGCTTAGGGTACAGTGCTCGCCAGTGGCCATGCAAGAGCCAAATGAGGCACTGTGGTAAGAACCAAAGTCAGAGACCAGAGTGTCTGATTTCGTCAGGCCGGACTGGATAGTCGAGCAGCGCGCCGAGTCAGGCGTGTTAGGGAATGTCCCAGTCGAGTTCTGGTACGTCTCAAAGCAAGGCAGACCGTAGGGACGGCCTGCATGCAGACGACCAGATACTTTTTCATTCAGAGATGCCCATGCAGACTCTGGAACATTCAAGATTGGCGAGCCTTCTCGGCACCGGAGCCCGCTGGGTGAAGCGGCGGCAACACCCAGAAGGAGGGAAAAGGCGAGAACACCCATTATTAATGACCCAAGAACTTGGCTTACTCACTTATAAATAAGCAGAGAAATACAAGCAAACGGATATAGAAAGATAGAAGAAAAGAGGAATTGATCCCGTTGTAATAGAGCATTGAAACGATAAGATCGGTGGACAGATGGCTTGATTTTATATACCCAGGCAAACAACAGCCTGGCCATGTGCAATCCATTATACCCTCCAAGGCTATACCGGACGGAAAGTTCCTAGAGTATAATAAGAAGAAATCCTTTAGCTAGTAGATGGGGCTAATCGTACCTCGGCGAGACTTGTTTGACAGCAGAGTAAAACAGAAGTTCTTGAAACAGGGATCCAAAGCCATTGCAAGGGATACCGGTATCCATCGCAATCCAAAGTTGTCTCTATCTAACCTTGTTGCATTTTGACTACTACACCGATATCAACTCCACAATAGCAAGTCGGCCGCCAGTGCGTCTTCGCCCCTCTCTTCCATATTGGTATAATCGACCAACAAACAGCCCTCTTACCTCCGGCATACTTCTAGTAAGGCGAACATAAGACTCTGATAGTCCTAAGCCTCCTCCCGTGATGAAATTTCGAACTTGATTGGTATTTGTCAAGACTGCCAAGCCCTCATCCTACATCCACTATGTCATGCAAAACAAGGCATGAGCTCAAGGAACCTTGTTGATTCGGGGCACCACCTATCGGCATTATTCTTTTCAGATTCTACCTAATATATCATTGGCTATGGTCCGGTGGGCTGGCAAGTGAACGGTGTTACCCCTGTATTGTTTCGCCTGTCTGTGCTGTTGCATACGGCCCTGGCTCGATTGCCGGACATGGCGATCGGGATTCGCCCAATGGCGACAAAATGTAAGATGAATCACGAAGATGAAGATACAGAGCCTCCACATTCGAGAGATTTACTATTAATAGTTGTTTATTCTTGTTGGCCGTAGCCGTACGTATGAGGATGCAACGAATGTATCTGGGTACAAGATGAAAACAGTCATCACTAATAACCTAAGCTTCGTAGCAATGCGTCCTCTCTGGTCCCAATGTAGGAGAAATCTCCACCAGATGTCCCGTCACTCAGGATCCACTCCGCCATTTTCATGCAGGTCCGTTCCAATTTTTCCCCTTTTTTGTCTTCTTTAGTTATTGAAATCAGCATCTCCCAAAAAGAATGTTCCAACACTGTATTATGAGAATGTTTCAATTTGGGGCTTTACCTGCCTTTGACTGGGGCAGGTGAACCATCAATTCAATCAACATGGAAAAGTAGACGTTGTGGGTAGGCACGTGACTGCACGTGCTAAAATCATCCTAAGAGTTGAGGCTAAGAACATGAACCATTGAAATCTTGACCCCTGTTTACGTGCATGCAGCCATCACCCAGCTCCAAAACCAGAGCCTATATGTTTCGAAGTATGAAAATCCTGGAATCAATTGATTGATTCAAAGGACAAGTTCTTTATGTTGACTATACCGCTTCAGCCATGGATGGTATCGCTCCACGTCGACAAGCTCTTAACGTAGGAGCTTCGCCCTTACGCTCTCCCCAATCCATCCGCTACATGTAGATCCTCTTGCTGATATAGCATTGCTTTAAGGCATGCGATTCCTGCCGACAACGCAAAACAAAATGTGACGAGCTCAAGCCAAGCTGCGGTCGTTGCACCAGGTTGGGCCTCGAGTGTGCATATGTGGAAACTGTCCTCTCCAAGTTTGTATCCCTTCATTGGCAACAAGTCTTGTGAAACCTAGTTCGCTGATTGCTCTTGTCTAGAAAGAACTTATCCGTATCTGAACTAAATGATACATTGAAAAGGATGGACAATAAGCTTGAGGCTCTGACCCATTTGGTGAAGAGCCAAAGCCAAGCCCTTCAACAGCATCATGATCCCGCCAACCACGCCTTCTCAAATGCGAGCCCGAGTGTGCATCACTCGCTGGGTCCATTTACTCCAATAGCTCCTTTTGATTCGGCCTCACCTCATTCTTCATCTATTCCCTATCTGGACACGGGAAGAATCCGCGATGAGCTGTCATTAACGCAGAAGCATTCCACCGCCCCCCAACATTTACTGACATGGCCTTGCTCCCCAATTAATCTTAGCGAAAAACAGTTGCAATATCCCACTCAGTTAGAGATCCACCGTTCAAAAATGCCAGCCATCTCTCATATCTCCTGTGAAAGCCCGCAGACTCCGCAAGGAGGAGGCTCTTGGCTATTGCAGCTATCTATGTCGGAGTTAAGTAGACTGACACAAGGATACTTCGCTCATTTCCATCCCTCCTGCCTAATATTGGACGAGGGTCACTTCTACGGACTTCATCTGAACCATGCGATGCGAACCAGTTTCGCTGAGAGCCTGGACGCTTGCTTAGTGGTATTAGTCTGTGCCCTGGGTGCTGTTGCCTCTCGTTTCTTAGAGGGCATTGAGTGGCCAGGTGAGAACGATGAAAACGCTGGTTGGTCATTTTTCAATGTTGCTCAAGAAATGCTTCTCCATGTTGAAAGTCCAGATTGGGCCAGTGTTCAGTGTCTTTTACTCTCAGGGCATGTTCTCCCGGACCTACCGGAGACACTGGAATATATATTGCTGACATATCGCAAGTAGGCTCTTCTTCTCTTCCAAACTGAGGGTCTACGATGCTTGGAGATTCATTCACCGCGCGTGTAGTACGATCTTGATTTTAGTACCGCTGTAAGGCTTATTGACTTTCTCAATCTCAATTCTGTCAAGCTAAATAATAGCAGGCAAGATCAGCTAGAAGCACATCAAGCCCAGCTTTTCTGGATTGCATATCTTCAGGAGAGGTAAGGGAGAATCCTACTTAAAACAACTCTCAAACTAAAGGAGTCTCAAGTCAACTACTTGCAGAATTTGATTTTCCACCGAGCGGCCTCGGGAAACTTGCAGGTTCTGTCGCTTTGCCGCTCGTTCCTAATGCGGGAACAGACCCCCACCACGCCAAGTACCAATTCTTCTTTCTTGCCCTTATTTCAATGAGGAAACTTCTAAATCGAGTACTTTATCATGTCTACAAGCAAGGTATCATTCTTACCGTTTCATTCAGATATCAGCAACTATGACTAATATCAGTTGATCAGATCAGCGATACGATGAAGCTCCTCGACCCACCAGTTCTCCTAGTGAAGAACGATTTAAAGCGGTTTTCTCTGCCAGCGAACGAATAATTGAAGAGTTAGATAGACAGTTAGAGGAGTGGAGAAATTGCCTTCCTGCTGGTCTCAACTTCTCTCCATATTCACCTTCCCAAGAGCCCCCTCAGCTAACAGAGCCTCACGAGCCGAGATCAATTGACGACAGACTCCGCGGCCATCTCCTAGCCCGGTATTATGTTGCCAAATCTATCTTGCATCGCCCATTTCTTTACCGAGTGCTCCATTTTGAGCACAATGCTACCCTGATTACTGATAACGACCGTCTTGGCGCCACCGTGGCTATTCACTCGGCATTTCTATCAACTATACACAGTGGGTTATTTCACGAGCCACTACCACTGCTTCTGCATCCAATCAACTCATGGAGGAGGTAGGCTTCCCTTAGATTTTGATCAACAGTAGACGTATTTCGCTGACTTGAGAGACAGTATGTTTGCACTTGAGCTACAAGTCGCCTTCTGCAGGCATCAGGACCCTCATCATTTTGCGTTGCCGAAGAATTATGAGAGTATTCGCCAAATCCGTCAACAATTGCCATCTAGTTCAGCTCATTCTTGTCCTACTTTGAATAAGGACGAGGAAATTCTTCGTCTCCTCGAGTAGCCGAAGTAAGAGATCGAGGGTGGTCGATGTATTATACGAAGCAAGTGTATCAGGCAAAGCAAGCTGACCTTAATATAAAATCATATTCATTTTAGGATATTTTCATCTTAAATATCACTCTAAGTAAACACATTCGTACCTCTTAATGAACCCAAGATCCTCCCTTGGCAGATGACCGGAAGGTGGTTGATACGCCCGTGTCCCTCGAATTCTTAGCTGCAGTGACACAAAACTCTGCGTCGGCATCGATAACCCATTTGTTGACGCTATCATCCCAATACGAAACACTGACCTTGTCCAACACTGTAGTAGCGGTGCAGGTCTCTCCTACCTTCACAAAGACCTTATCGTAGCCCTTGAGCTCTCTCGAAGGTCTTCCCAGTCTAGACTTGGTCTGATTGACATAGAACTGAACAGCTTCTTTGCCATCACGAGATCCGGTATTAGTGATATCAACCTTGACCTCAATCCTTTCGTCCAGACCCAGGACCTCTTCATTGATACGAATATTGGAATACTCAAACGTTGTGTAAGATAATCCAGCCCCAAATGGGAACAGCGGCTCGATCTTACGATGATCGTAATACCGGTATCCAGCGTGGATACCCTCCCCATAATGCACAACGTCATTCTCGCCTGGGTAGTTGTCATACGGAGGCGTGTCCTCAAGACGTCGCGGGAACGTTATTGGCAGCTTTCCCGAAGGGTTCACCGATCCGAGAAGAACATCTGCAAGGCAATTTCCTTGCTCCTGTCCTTGATACCATGCCTGGATGATCGTCGAGACCTGAGACTCCCAGGGCATGGCGATGGGGCTTCCAGTCTGGTTAACAACAATGGTGTTGTGGTTGACCTTGGAAACGGCGGATATCAGCTCATCCGATCGCGCGGGAAGATTCATCGACACCATGTCGCTCGTCTCAGTCTCCCACTCATGGTCCTTGCCTACTACCACAATGGCAACGTCGCTGGCTCCGGCCATTTCAACGGCCTCTTGGAACAACTTGTCCAGGTCGCCCTGGTTCTCCAAGAAACCAATGCGGCCACCGTCTTGTACCTCCTCGCGCTCAAGCATAGCCATGTAATCAATATCATAGGGCTTAGGCTCACGGCTGATAGATTCTAAGACGAGCTCGTACTCGCGGCCTGCCTCCATGTGGACATCAACACGCTCCTCCGGGGAGCCGTAGCTCATAAACAGCGCGGACTTGGGAGACCACCAGTGTCTCTCAATGTCGATGATGACTTTGCCATCTAGGATAAGCTTTCCAGGCCCGCAAGACGACAGGGAGAACTGGTGCAGGCCAGTGGTCTTGGGTGTCACGATGCAGCGTCCACGGTAGGAATATCTGGTACCGGTTGTGAGCTCTGGTGGCAGACCATCGTAACAGACCAAGTTGGAGCTGGGTCGGTTCTCTACCATGAAGGGCTCGCCTTCATGTTGCATGTTTCTCCAGAAGGAGAGAAGAAACCCTTTGGCCCCAGTTGAAGGATTCTTCATCACAGCTGGATCCAGGAGTGGGAGATATCTATGGGCAGGGAAGGCGGCGTGAGTCTGCAACTTTACCGTAGGGAATTTCTGCGATAGCTCGGTCTTGAGGGACTCGTATGGTGTCGTTCGGTAGTGCGGCTCGAGGTTGGAGCTTCCACCACCAGTAGCTACTGATCTAGCTGCGTTGGGGCCGATGATAGCGATCGTCTTGTTGTCCAAACTTTCAAGCGGAAGAATGTTGGCCGAGTTCTTGAGCAGCACAATTCCTAGTTTTCGCGTTAACGAAGTGAGTAAGAAGAAAAGTAATGAGATAGTTACTCACCTTCTGCTCCTGCTTTGCGTAGAATTGCTCTGTGTTCTGGCAGATCAGTTGCCTTCTCTTTACCCTCTTTCCAGTCTGGGATCTTGCTTTTCCCAGTTCGCTCCAGAAGCCCAAGGAGACGGCTGACGGAGTCATTGAGGAATGATTCGTCAAACAGCCCTTTCTTGTAAGCGTCTAGTAGGTGCTGGCCTCTTCTTCTGACAGGTCCCGGCATCTCAAGATCCAAACTAAGTTTTGTCAGAGATTTTATCCAACGACAAAAGTATATAGTGAGACTTACCCTGCCTTGATCGATGGAACGATGCTGTTGGTACCGAACCAATCGCTCATTGCCAAGCCATCCCAGCCCCATTCTCCGCGCAGAACGTCTTGGAGGAGAAACTCACTGGCAGAGCAGAAATCACCATTGACTTTATTATAGGCGGTCATCAAGCTCCAGGGATTGCTATCTCGGATGGCAATTTGGAATGGCTGGAGATGAATCTCTCGTAGCGCTCGATCGGGGATCTTCTCATCGATGAAGAAACGTCGAGTTTCTTGGTCGTTTGCGACAAAGTGCTTGATACAGGCGCCGATTCCAGCTGCCTGAATGGTGTTGATATATGTTCCGGCTAGCTTACCAGTGAGAAAGGGGTCTTCACTGTACGCTTCGAAGTTGCGGCCGCCGAGGGGTGTGCGAGGGATGCAGACTGTGACTCCGTGTAAGCAATGAATTGGGCGATGTATTTACGTTGGATCAATACCTGTAGGCCCAAGGAGCACATCAACCTCTTTGCTCTTGGCCTCGTCGATGAGAACTTTGCAGAGGTCTCGTACGACATTGTTATCCCACGTAGCTGCTATTGAGACACTTGGATTCATTAGCTACTGTCTATGCGGCACTGGCAGGATATCTTACCCCGTTGGTAATGAGGCAGCCTTCACACCGTCTGTGAAAATGCCACCTCTGACGCCGACTGGCCCATCAGAGGTCTTGAGCCTGGAAATTCCCAGACGAGGGATGGGGTGCGTACGCCACAGATCCTCGCCGGCTAGTAGAAGGACCTTCTCTTCCAGAGTCATCTGGGAGAGCTTCTCTTGGGCCCATTGGCTTGCGGCTTTGGTGCCATTGGTAGCACCGTTGTCGCCGTTGGGAAGGTATATTTTGGTCATCGTCAATGGCAAAATTTCACGATCCTTGGTTAAGCACCAGGGATTAACACAAAATAGGAAAGGAAACTGGTCTGTTCGTAGTCCAGAGATCAGAAGAAAATTGAGCTGCCCTCGTTTCTTTTGAACGATTGATCATTAGCGACTGACAGCACTTCCGGGGTCCCCATAGCTGATCAATACCCGTCTGGTTGCCTGACTTCACCTTCTAGAGGCCGGGGAGAAATGGACTGGGGCCGGTGATGCATTACAATTGAATGGGCCTCGTGATGGTGTGGAGATTTTTTTGGCATCGGAGTCAGTCCGTCTCTCCCCGTCCAAGCCCCTGGCAAACAGTCTTGCCAGGTTAGCCTCGGCCACGATTCAGTGCGTTTCCAATGGAAAATTTTATGAATCAAGAAAACAGAGCAAAATAAACTCACTTGTTAGTGAAGCCATGAAAATCATGGTATGGACACGAGGCTGCCTACTACCTTCGAGCGTTCTCGTCGTAAATTTCACTCGGCCAACATCGAAACCGTTTTCCCCGTGGCTCAGGAGAGAAAGAAGATATTAAGAATCCCACGGAATCGATACGGATATCAGCAACAATCATGTATCGAGCCAATCGCAACGATGAGATAACTATCGCCCAAGAGCATCGCTCAGACTCGGATCTCGACGTCCTAGCCCACGAGAAAACAAACACCACACAGCCCGATCGAGCCGTCGCTGGTAATCAAACCTCCGAAGATACCCAGATAGTCCAAGTCATCGGCCTCGAAGCTCTACTCCCGACCTTCTCCCCATTTGAAGCACTGAAAGCAAACGGCATTATCGATGATCAACTCGCCTCGGACATCTCGAACCTACAAGGCTTCCAGTCGCCATTCGCATGGAGCAGACGAAAGAAGATCACCGTGCTCTCTGGAGCTTTTCTAGCATCTTGCCTTGCAGCATACGCAGCCGGCGCCTACGCTCTCGCCTCTCAGCCGCTGCGAAGCAAGTGGGCTATCTCGGACACCGAGTTCAACGCGGGCATCACAATGTTCGTTCTAGGCTTTGGGTTCGCTCCCATGATTCTTGCCCCCATAAGCGAAGCACACGGTCGATATTGGGTCTTTTGCGGTTCCGGACTGGTCTTCTTTCTCGGACTGGTTGGTTGCGCTGTGACGGACTCCTATGCCGGCATGTTGGTGTCCCGATTTGTGGTTGGTAGCGGAGCGTCAGTCTACGCGACACTCACTGGTGGTGTCGTTAGCGATCTCTACCACAAAGAAGACAGGAATACCCCAATGGCTCTCTACTCCCTGAGTATCATGATTGGCACTGGTCTGGGACCACTGATCAGTGGCGTTGTCGTTGATCATCTAGGTTGGAGATGGATCTTCTATCTACAAGCTATCGCTGTAGGGTTTACAACCCTGATAATATTCCTATTTTTCAAGGAGACTCGAAGCAATGTTGTTTTGAGAAGGAAGTGTATAAGGATGAACAAGCTTATTTCTAAGAGCCGCTCAAGTCCATACCTACTAGAGTTCCAACCTGCTTGTGAGGAACGCAAATTCGATATCACCATTATTTGGCGGAGCTTTGCCTTCCCCTTGAGACTACTAGTAACAGAGTCTGTGGTATTCTGGTTTTCGGCTTGGGTTTCATTCGCTTGGGCTGTTCTATACATGCAGTTCAGCAGCATCGGTATTGTCTTCAGAGATGTGTACGACTTTAGCAACACACAAGTCGGTGCTGTCTACACGGCTGTCATTGTTAGTTCTACGATTTCTTGCCTTCTGTCTATTGTTCAAGAATCAGCAATGTACAAGTTTTACCCTCAACGGATGGCTTCCCCGGAGGGTCGACTGCTTGCACCCGGTATCCAATCCATTCTGTTGCCTGCTGGACTTTTCTGGTTCGGGTGGAGTTCTGGGTTGAAGTCACATTGGATATTGCCTACAATAGCAATTGGGACGTGTACTATGGGGATTTTTAGTATTTATCTGGCGGTTTTCAACTATCTTGCTGATTCGTATCATCGGTACGCATCCTCTGCGTTAGCAGCGCAGAGCATGTGCCGGAACCTATTAGCTGGTATATTTCCTCTATTCACGATGCTCATGTTGAAGGACTTGGGTTACGGCGGAGCAGGTAGCTTGCTTGGGGGAATAGGGTTGCTTCTAACAGTGATACCGTGGCTACTATCATTCTATGGGCAGAAGATCAGATCACGTAGTCCATTTGCGGGAGCACTGTTGACAGCTTAAAAAAGTCACATCTATTAGAAATCAAACTCACAACGAGTAAAAAATAATACAATAAGCCCAAATAAGATCATCATTCGTCAGGCTTTGTTAGAGTCTGCCCCAATTTCGCTTACTTTCCTCGTGCCAAATCAAATTCTCTGTGGCTTTGAGACTGACTCGCTTTCTCGCCACGGTTTCTGTAGGCTTTCAGGATTCAGTGTTCTTCCTCGCGGAACTTTCCATAGAATACTGAAGTGTCATAAACAAGCCATTATTGATAGTTCCACCAGTTTAGGTTTTCAGGAATTCTTCTCGCCTTGTGATCAATATTCTATGACCTTAATAGAGCCAATGGTCCAAACGGGGGGACACGGACCTGCTCCGCCGCTTGCTCAAGTCCTCGGTGTTGGTCCGTCTGTCCCCGTCCCCGCTCCCAGTCAAGCTTAATGAGGCTAAACGTGCAATGCTACTCGCGGTAGAGCATTTTCTGGGGCCCCAAATGACCAGATTTTCAGGGATTCTGAAATCTGGGGTTTTAGTATCTGACAAGGTCATCCGAGTCTGCCCGTATGTGGTCAATGATGGTGTTCTGGACCAGCCGGGATTCGATCATGAGTCCTTCCAAGGTTTGACTCCAGCCTTCCTTCTATAAAGACATCATTTACCCCCAGCAACTTCAAACCATCTCATCAATCACATAAAGCACACAGCTCGGGTCCCTCTTTAAGCAGAAAACAGCTTCCGCCGGTAGCAGAATGGCAGACAACCTTCCCTCCTCCCGTCCGTTGCGCTCCGTGGCGGAGATCCTCGCCAGCGACAAGACATCCGTTCTGTCACTCGCACCATCCCTTGTTCAACTTTATGCACTTCTGGCCCCAGCCTGTCTTGTTGTCTGCGCAACCAATGGCTACGATGGCTCAGTCCTCACAGGCTTGCAGGGTGTGACAGCATGGAACAACCAGTTTGGAAGCCCCAAGGGCTCGCTGCTCGGTATAACCAGCGCCTCTTACCCCCTGGGTGCAATCGTCTCCACGCCCTTTTCTGCATGGTTGTCTGATAAATACGGCCGACGCTCCTCGATCCTCATCGGCAGCTTCATCATGATCATCGGCGTCATTGTTCAGTGTGTCAGTACCACCATCGGCCAATTCATCGGCGGTCGCGTCATTGTCGGCTTCGGTATCACTCTTGCCCTGGCCGCAGCCCCTGTCCTCATCTCCGAACTCGCCCATCCTCGCCATCGTGTCTTTTTCGGGTCCCTGTACAATACCAGCTTCTATCTTGGCGCCTTACTCGCCGGATGGGTGGCTTTCGGAAGCTACCGCATCCCGAACGCCTGGGCCTGGAGGCTACCGACATTACTTCAGGCACTCCCGGCTTGCATCCAGATGATATTCGTGTGGTTCCTAGATGAGTCGCCTCGTTGGCTGTTTTACAAGGATAGAACCGACGAAGCTCTAAACATCCTGATCAAGCATCACGGAAATGGGCAGTTGGATGATTTGGTCCAAGCCGAGTACTGGGAGATGAAGGAAACACTCCAGGCTGAGCAGGAGGGAGAGAAGCAAAGCATCTCTCTGTTCATCAAGACCCCAGCCAACCGTCGACGACTCGCCATTCTTGTCACTCTAGCCGTCTTCGGCCAATGGAGTGGAAATGGTCTGGTAAGTGAACCATCCAAGAACCCTCGTGTTTTCATCAACTAACACCAAGCCAGGTGTCGTATTACCTCACCAAAATCCTCGCAAGTATCGGAATATCAACCCAACGAGAACAAACAATGCTCAACGGAATAATCAGCACGGTCAACTACGCGACCGCCCTCTTCGCAGCCGTCCTATCGACCAAGATCGGCCGCCGCACCATGTTCATCGGGGGCGGCATCGCCATGTTCCTCACATTCTCAGCTTTGACGATCAGTATCGCCGTCTACAACGAGACTGGTTCAGTGGCCGCGAGCAAATCCGGGCTGGCGTTCATCTTCATCTACTACACCTCCTTCAACATCTGTTTAAACCCACTGCTCTTCCTCTACCCTACCGAGATTCTGCCATACAGATTACGCGCCATGGGCCTCAGCATCCTCGTTTTCTCGACAAAGGCCGCATCGTTCTTCAACCAGTTCGTCAACCCAATCGGCATGGATTCCCTGGGCTGGAAATACTACCTGGTGTATGTCGGCTGGCTTCTTGTGGAAATTTGCGTCTTTTGGCTGCTTTACGTTGAGACCAAGGGGTACACTCTTGAGAGAATCCAAGAGGCGTTCGGGGAAGATATCAAATTCGACGGCCCGGAGGAGAAAAACGGGCCGACGGTGGTCGATACCGTATTTGAAAACAAAGGTGACGATGAGTCCAGCTCGCATGTGGAGAGGGCAAAGCATATCTAGGCTCGAACCATAATTGCCGAGACTTCTGTAATCTAACCCGAGATAATTAACTCGTTTATAAACGTCCAGCCAGTATTGGTTAATACCTTCACCTCGTAGACCCCTTCCCAGCTGACTGAAGATTTGTGCTTGGATTTGGCAAGACGGTGTTGCTTCACGCACCCAGTTGCCATCGTGAGTTGAAATGAAAAACGGCAAACATGTGGTCATTAGATTTGATTATATTATGAGCTCTTATAATGGACGTCGATCAGTTGGACATGCTGTTTCCCTGTAGAAGACTGAATCAGCCACTCACATCTGCACAGCTTTTAATGTGTGTTGAGGTCTGAGTGATCAGAAAGCGCAATGAAGTCACGGTGAGAAGTAACAATAATTCCACGCCGGTCCACGCATAGAGTTCATAAAATGCATAATGGCTCTTGAAAACTTTTCGCGCTCTCAAACGGATCACTCCACAGCCCCCATTTTCACAACCGCCATTAGAATCCGTGTCGATCAAAGAGGAGCATTAGTAAAAAGATATGACACAGATTCACCGTTGTGAGTCCTACGAATTGCCTACAAACAGGTGAGCTAAAAATTAATCTTCAAATCATAATGTCGGGCTTACCTCAGCAAGAGTCCCTGATACGTCAATCACCTTGAGCTTAGGGCACCGTTCGACCTTATCGCCAACTGAAAATGCTTCATTAGTCCCTCAAATTTATGAGAAGGGTAGTGGAGGAATGAGAGCCACTGGATACAACCTGGGCTCCCACTTCATGTAAGACTTACGGGGTACAGCTATTGTATTCATTAGCAACGGATCCATGGCATTGGGTTCCGAGAGACTTACTGTTGGTGACAACCAGGCCAGAGAGGCAGGACTGGTTGATATTATCAATAGCGTTGCCGCTAAGAATACCGTGAGTTACGATGGCGTAGACCTGGCTGGCGCCATGCTCGTTCAAGGTAGCTGCGGCTTTTGCTAACTGCAGGGGAAGAGGTCAGTGATATTCAAGAAGTGTGATACAAGACAATTGGAGCCATACCGTCCCGCATGTATCTGCGATGTCATCTACTATGATAGCCACTTTGTCCTGGACGTCACCAACCAGAATCATACGACCGACGACGTTGGGTCGCGGGCGTTCCTTGTGAATAAGAGCAAAGTTGATCTTCAGGCGATCAGCAATGGCCGCGGCACGCTTTGCGCCTCCAGCATCTGGTGAGACAATGACGCAGTCGTCGAGGTTGATGTTCTCCTGAATCCATCGAAGCACGGACGGCTCAGCGTAAAGATTGTCCACAGGCACGTTGAAGAAGCCTTGAATTTGAGAAGCATGCAAGTCCATGGTAATAACATGGTTCTAGCAAAGACATCATCAGAACAATATCCCAGTGTGGGTCAAGGAGGGACCAAAGTTCTTACACAACCAGATACTTGCAGCATGTTAGCCATCAGCTTCGCGCTGATAGGGGCGCGGGACTTGTCCTTCTTGTCTTGTCTGCTGTAGGGGAAGCTGGGCAGGACCACGGTGATGCGTCGCGCCGACGCGCTGCGGCAGGCGTTGATGAGGATCATGAGCTCCATTAGCCCGTCGTTGACCTCTCCAGGCGCGGTGGACTGGAGGATGAAAACATCTTCGTCTCGGACTGACTCGCCGATGGAGATGCTCATTTCCTGGTTGGAATATTTGACATGAGTTGTGCTGGCGACCCGCGTCCCGAGCCTGTGACCTGTTAGCCCAATGCCCCATCGCACCCGTAGCAGATGACGATCCACGGCTGAGATGTTGCCGGCGCCTGTTTCGCTTTCGTTCCAGGGTGGATGATGGATGGGGCTGCACGTACCGGCTAGCCATCAAAGTGCCAAGCTCTGGGTGGCCGCTGCCAGCAATCAATTTGATTTCGTTGGCCATCTCTGCTCGCGGTCGTGGGGAATCTAGAAGCGACGGGAGGAAATACAACGGGAGCTCTGTGAACAAATCCCTGTGAAAAACCGGCAGCGAGGCTCTGCACGAAGAATTTGCTCAGCCGCCCTGCGCATATCGCTCCATATTCCAATCGCACTGCTCCAGTGACGAGAGCCGTCAGAAACCGACCGGTGGTCACGTGCATGACCAAGTTTGCCTCTGACCGCCTTGCTTTCTGCCTATCTCCAGCTTGACAACTCTATTTTTCCCCTTTCGAGAATTGCGCTGTGGCTTGAACAATTGCCTTGGGAACAGACTATCATTTCAACTATTGCCAAGGAGGATACAAGCCTTTTTCAGTGTGCCTGGTGCTGTCGCCATCGATCGCCCACCGATCTAATTACATCAGCCTGCATCAAATGCATTGGGCTACCCTAGAGCTGTTGCCTCAACGTGCATTGATTAATTCTCAATCTATCTACTTACTTATGAAGAACCAAATAGACATTACCTTTTCAATTCTGTGCATTTCTTCAAGTTGATTTCTCATTAAATTTGAATTTGAGCACGCCTAGGAAGAAGTGGTATTTGATGTTATGACAGCCTACTAGAGTTGATGTATGGTTTCAAGTGAAAACCATCTGCAATGGATTTGGACTCGGGATCACGGTGAGCGGCATAACTAAATGCCGAGACAGCCACAGTTCAGCCTCACTAAAAACTGAAGCTAAGAGGAAGGGGCACCGTGAAGAGTGTATTCATTAAACTCATGCTTTCTCTCCAATGACGACCTACGTAGCTCTATTACGCGGCATTAACGTGGGTGGCCGCCGCAAGGTGCTCATGGCGGATCTGCGCGAGCTCCTCTCATCCCTTGAGTTGGACAATGTCCGGACCTATCTCCAGAGTGGGAATGCAGTCTTCACGGCATCGGAGCCACTAGAAGAGGTTCATACGTGTGTTGATAAAGCCATTTCTGAACGATTTTTCAATGACATTCCCATATTTCTCCGGTCCGGGGAAGATATCGACGCGCTTATCAAGAATAACCCCTTCGCCTCCGCGTGCGACAGCCTACCTAAATCAGTCCATGTGATTTTTCTCTCATCGTCGCCAGAGGCCGAGAAGGTCAAAGAACTGGATATCTACGCGACGAGAGAAGAGAAGATTGTTGCCCATGGCGAACACCTCTTTGTGCATTTTCCGAATGGATATGGGAAGTCAAAGCTCACGCCAACGGTGGTGGAGCGGATTCTGGGGGTCTCAACCACTGCTCGCAATTGGCAGACCATCATGGCCTTGCAATCATTGATGGAGGACGACGCCTGATGGATCTTTGGGTGTTTCATGGCTCACCGCATTCCACCGTCCTCATTCCATGATTCAAGGCTTGAACCCTGGCATTGAAGGGCATTTTTACCTGCTCAAGGTTCTGACTCGTATTGATGAACTTTTAAAATCGCAGCTGCAGTGGCAGATGAGCTGACGATCAATTGCGGTATGTTTGTTGAGAGTGGACGGTTACGCGGCACTGGTTTAAGCGAAATTACTGATTGATGGAGAGACACTCCATCAAGAATCAGCCAATTGTAGGGATCATTCCATACCTAGTGCCCGATGCCTGTTTCAGAGGATCTCCGTTCATGCATTTTAATTCTTTAACCCCATCCTGCAGGTACTCAAGCTTGGAGTTGTTTGTAAATAAGACAACAGTTGGAAGCATGTAAATTTGGCAATGAAATTGATCGACAATGGGAAGAAGGTCCGATTCAATTGTTCCGTGATCGACTGGTTATAATTCCTCAGTGCCGTCCTATCCTGGTTTCAACCAGGGTCCATATCTCTGGGGCTTTACCAGTTTCACATTTCGGTAGCTCTGCTCCGAGCCTTTGTGAGGTTTAATGAAACAAATCCTGGATGAGATGCCTGCTTATCGTCTCCATGATCGACTCACATATTATTTAATAGCCAGAGCCGCAGCTTGGCTGCGGTATGCATTGGAGTTGGTCGCTGCGAATCATCAACTTCTGGGGACATTCTTTACTTCAATTCTCAACAACCATGGCACCCTCATTAGTCGCCCTTCTAGCTGGTCTAGCATGTGTCGGCTCAGTTGCAGCGCAGCTGTCAGGAACAGTCGGTCCCACTACATCGCGAGCCTCAAAGGCGGCAAAAAAGCGATGCAACATCATGGATTATGGAGGTGTGGCATCGGCTACGACCGATAACGGGGAAGCAATCAATGCCGCATGGAAGGCCTGCGCTGCAGTAGGAGGCGAAGTCTACATTCCGGAGGGAGATTATGGTTTGGGCACCTGGTTGACGCTGTCGGGGAGCAGCATGTCATTCTGCCTTGATGGCATCATCCATCGTACTGGAACCGCTGGCGGTAACATGTTTATGTTCAAGCATATCACCGATTTCGAACTTTATAGCAGCACATCCAAGGGAGCTATCCAAGGATATGGCTACGAATATCACAAAGGTTAGTGTTCTTGTATCTGTTTGTTAGTGTGTTGTGAAAGCTGACAAAATTCAGACAACACTTACGGCGCGCGAATCTTGAGGTTCGCTGATGTTCATGATTTCTCTGTTCATGACATTTCGCTCGTGGACTCGCCCGCCTTCCATTACAGCATTGATACTTGCACAAACGGAGAGGTGTATAATATGGTTATCCATGGCGGAAATCGAGGAGGGTTGGATGGCATCGATGTTTGGGGTACAAACATCTGGATTCATGATGTCGAAGTCAGCAACAAGGACGAATGTGTTACCGTTAAGAACCCATCTGACCATCTTTTGATTGAAAATATCTTCTGTAACTGGTCTGGGGGCTGCGCCATGGGTTCCCTGGCCACTGGAACAGGTAAGAATCTTCTCAATCCTCTTACCCGACGTTAGACTGACCTCAGACAGACATTCATGACATTGAGTACACCAACGTATACACCCACAACTCCAACCAGATGTTCATGTTCAAGTCCAACGGAGGAAGTGGTACGGTTTCCAATGTGGCTTTGAACAACTTCATTGGCCATTCTAACGCCTACACCCTGGATCTCGATGCTGCTTGGTCTAGCATGTCTACCGTGGATGGTGATGGCATTCTTTACTCCAACTTCACTTTCTCCGGCTGGAGCGGCACTTGCGCGAACGGAGTCCAGCGAGGACCTATCAAGTTCAACTGCCCTGCTGACGTCCCTTGTGCTGATATGGTGGTCAAGGATTTTAGTGTCTGGACCGATTCAGGATCCAAAGTTCAGTATGTCTGCCACAACGCTTACGGAGAGGGAGCATGCCTTGCCTCCGGAGCAGCTACAGCAACGCATACCAGCACACAAACCATCACCACCTCGGGTGCATACTCAACTCAGACTATGCCAGGCGAGCTTACAGCTGGCCTCGGTCTCACTCAGTCTATCGCTATTCCCACTATTCCCTCATCATTCTTCCCCGGAAAAGCTCCCTACAGCCCCCTGATGGGCAGCTCAGGCGGAAGCTCGACTGCCGCCCAGGAACAGGAGCTGTCAACTTCATCGGCTTCCCCTGCTGCTTCTACCGGAGCAGCCACCACCTCAGCTACGGCAACCGCTGTTGCATCTGAGGATCCCACTTTCGTTACTCTCTCTTCCGATGTCTCGGCCGCTCCTTCATCAACTCCCTCTCAGTCCAAGTCGTCCGCTTCGACTCGCCCTGCGGCACCAGTGCCATCTTCGTCCGCTTCTAGAGTGAGCTCCGCTCCATCTGCCGTGCCAACAAAGGCATCCACGTCATCTCTAGAGCCGGCTAGTACCGGCTGTGGTCGACACGGCTCTCGCCATCGCTATAACCGCCGTTCCCATGCTTAGATTGATAATTTAGATGGAGCCTATGAGTAAGATATTGGATAAAAAAGGTTTCGCTTCGTAGGGAATATGAGCCAAGCTGGTCTTGTTGTGGGGTTTAGCAAGGATGGCATGTCACGCACAGTCATATTACGTTTATGGTAATTTGGAATGATATGTTTCCAGCTGCAACTGCCGCTTTATTCCGATGTATATGAATTGAAGTTACGTTTGAAATGGCATCCTGAAAAGTTTTGAACCTATGATTCGTTGGGAGTGCGGAGCTTTATTACAAGCAACAAACTCAAGTTTCTCGTGAACGTTGCAATCTAACAGCAAGGCTCCCTGTCTTCCTGAGGTAGCATTCCATTCTATATTTTCACTATGCAGGTACGCGTGAGCCAACAAACTATAAGAATGCCCGCTATTTGTTAATGGCGTATTTGGCATCGGGCGTAATTGCCTACGAGGTTTCAAATCTGAATAATCGTTGATATTCACACCCCGTATGTTTGACTAAGATTATTGTCCCCTTGTTTTCACATGTCTTAACCATATTTTCACATGTCTTAACCATATTTTCACAACATTCTTCAGATTTAGCTTTCTAAAAGTATTATTACCCTAAAGTATGAGATAAATTCAAGAGACCATTCGAGGGACCATTCGAGGGACCATGAAATGTGAGATCTTGACGGTTATTCATTGTCTTTAGATGTTGGGTCTGTCTGGCATCTTCCATTGCTGCCTTTTTAGTAACACTCAAACTCCCATCTACCGTGAGAAGCTTATGGATATCAAGCGTGGCATGTTTAGGCCGCTCTCCATCATTTATTCGGCCAATATGACTCGACCCTTCTTGACCGCGAATAGGTGGTCATCACGGATCGGCCCGTTTCACTTTTCTATCATAGAGGGTACGAAACAAAGGTCCCTCATTGCTTGGAGACACATTATTAAACGCAAGAGCTGTTCACGCCCCGCTCTTCACGGATAAACTGAGCCGTGACCAAGAGGCTGGGTATTTCTGGGCGCTGAGTTATTGAAATTATATCGATATTCGTACTTAGAATCAGCTGTATATGAACCAGGAACCCCGCCATGGATCTATACAAGCTAAATTCGGCTGTCGCCAAGCTTCGTCAGCCACCATCTTTCGAGTCCATTTAATTCATACCTGCATTTGATTGGCTAAATGAGATACTGCCGTCTCAACTGTTGCACTTTCCCTCGGCCTTTTCATGTGATGATGAGTCCAGGTAGACTTTGCTGCCGAAGTTGAGCGTACCTGCAAGCAGAACACAGACTACTGGCTGGGCGAGAAAACGCCACTAACGGTCACCTTCCATTGTAGGGCAAGCATATTGCCGCGAACTGTGAGAACCTCTAATGAGCTGCAGGATTAGCGTGCCATACATTCGTCTGGATCAGGCTTTGTTCCTGTGGCCCGCGAGGTTTAAGCTGGCTGAAGATGATTATTGAACAAGAGAGGTCAAATTCGTAGATAAATTTGAAGAAAATAGCCTCTCAGTGAACCAATGTTTACTAACTAGAATTCGTAAGATGAGAGCCGAGTTCGTGGAAGTACACGTGCTACTATGTGTGGTAGGGCGGAAGGTCTTGGGATTCCCCGCGTTAAGTCTCACTCACCATCCTGATTTGGATAGTCTACTAAGCGGCTGGGGCCACATGACTTGGATATGAGAGCTGGATGGGGAGAGGCGGGCGTGTTTTCGCTTGTGAGACTGAGCAATTCAGTATCTACCCCATGGCGTCGCTCGGCAGTGTGAGAGGGTGTGAAAGGGTGGTCACGATGCCTTACTTGGCAAATATATGGCGGCCGGTAATGATATAAAGAAACGTGCATGATTTCTCGTGTATAAATACCAAGGACCTCAACAATCTGAGGAACAGAAACATCATTACATCTTTCCAAGCACACCAGGTTTCTAAGCTTTCATTTTCCAACTCTACATCATGAAGTTCCTCTACGTCGTCCAGACCTTGATCGCCCTCGCCTTGGCTAAGCCATTGCCTGAGACGGCTGTGGAAGTTGACCTGCAGAACCGAGAAGATTCTATCGGCATCTCCTCTGTCCTTGTGCGTGATGACCTGCACAATGGCGGCAGCGCGTGTCCCAAGGCTATTCTCATCTTTGCTCGAGGCACAATGGAGCTGGATAACATGGTGAGGCCTAGTGGAGCATGATTGTCTTTTGGCAGAATAGAACTAATCAATCTGTTACTTTCAGGGCTTATTGGTCGGGCCAGCTCTTGCAGGTGGCTTGGAAGGCATCCTGGGCTCAAACAACCTCTGGGTCCAAGGTGTGGGTGGCCAATATGCCGCCAACCTCGAGGGCAATCTGTTTCCAGATGGATCACCTCCTAGAGCCATCCAGGAGATGCTTAACCTGCTCCAATTGGCGGACACTAAGTGCCCAAACTCTAAGATTGTCACAGGGGGTTATAGGTACGCATTGTCATCCTTGAGTTGAGTAACAAGAAAAGGCTGGAAACTGACCTGCCTATAGCCAAGGTGCTGCACTCGTAGCCGCTGCTATTCGCGACGTCAAGGCTTCCATTCGACAGAAGATTGTGGGAACCGTACTCTTTGGGTACACCAAAAACAAACAGAGGAACGGACAGGTAGAGAACTACTCTACTGATCGGCTCCGGGTTTATTGTAACCTTGGAGACTTGATTTGTGAGGGGACGTTGATTGTTCTACCACCACATCTTCTGTATGGAGTTCAGGCTGCTGGCCCGGCAGCTCAGTTCCTCGCCAGCAAGATCAATTGATAATTTCTTGATCGATGTATGGCAGAATGCCGCCATGCACTCAGATATGGAAAGGAGAGATCAGATATGAACCATACATATTTTCGCTGCCGCATTTATCGAAAGTATTTGATCTTCTTTCGTTCCTTGTTAGGGTTAGTTTATTCTTGGGATGGATAATCAGATCTGTACAAAGAGATGCAAGAATTTATATAGGCACGCTGGGTAGACTATAAAGCTACATTTCAGCGCGGTGCTTCGTCTTGTTTTTGCCTTAGAAATTTGCGGAGTACTCAATCATGCCACTTATCGCGTTGAACAGAAAAATGGGCCATGAAGTATATGATTTGATAATTCTCCAATGACCATGAAACTATCGCGATAGTTCTTGTTCTGTTAGATAATTTCGCGAGTCACATATAGGGAAAGTTCACTACTACATTTTAAATTCAATGAAAGTTTCATATGCCCAATATGGAATGGAGAAAGAGAACGGGCTCTCCGGTTTTTTTCTTTTTTTAACATATAATGTAATGCCTCGTGCTTAAAAAATATGGGGCAATGGTGACATCGAAGGATGGTCCCGGGCCCTTTCTATTCATAACCTAGTTTTAAACTACATGCATCTTGCTGATCAACCTTGATTCTTCTTGGATAAGAGCGATCACTTCTTGTTGGCTGCATTGAGGGTAGTTGCCATGGTCTGGATATCCGCGGGAGCAGCGTCGGGGGTGATCCAGTGGTTGGTAGTGAAGACAGCGGCACCAATTCCCCTGGCGACAATGGCTTCGGATGCACTCAGCAGGCTTTCGCTGTTGGCAGTAGCGAAGCCGTTGCTGTCGTGGAACCCGTGAACGAGAATGGCAGTCTTGGCGTAGTTCTCAGTACCGACCCAGTCCTTCAGAACGTTGTCGATGCTTGTGCCGTAGCCATCCTGATCATAAGGAGTATAAGATCCATCGCAAAGGTCGTTGCCGTTCGAGGTTGGGGACCAGCAGGTCTCGAAGGCCGAGATGAAGGTTGGGTTGAGAGCAAAGTAAGAGTCGAGGATGTTGGGCGTAGCAGGGAAGCCGGCATTGTAGACAACCGAGTCACCGAGGCCGTCCAGCGAGCGGACATACTGCGTCAATTCCTGCATGTACTGCACGCAGGAACCATCATTGGGTGATTCATCGATAAAGATACCACCCACGTTGACTCCCTGCGAGTTCCAAGTGGCCCAACTGGCAATGTCTGCTTTCACATCGGCGATGGCACGCTGGCAGCGGCTGCAGTGCACATATCCAACCAAAGACACGTTGGGCAGATCTGCGAGCAGTTTGCCTCCAGTAGCCCAGTTGGTTGCATCATCCGTGCCAAATGGGCTACCAGGGCCGTTGCTCACATTGATAATGATTGTTGCGGAGAGCTCGGAGTTGCTTGACAGGGCAGATGCCACGGAAGACCAACTGGCACCGTTGGTTCCTGGGTGAGTGTAAAGAGGATAAATAAGATCAGTAGCCGCAGCCGAGGCCGCACACAAAGAGAGCAAAGAGAAGCGCATTTTGATTGAGATTTGAGTTCGGGAAGATAGGATGCAGGTATCAGAACATCGCGAGTGGAAGAGTGTGCCTAAACTATTTATATTGAACCTGAGAATACTCAGGGGTAGAATACTAGAAATAAGAGTTTCTATTCCCCGGAGTTACAACTTAACTTTGTCCCCCAACCGTAATACCGAATGCAAGGAACAACAACTGACAACCCACCTTCTTCTCCTTAATGGCACGATTTGCGTGTACTCTGCTTACGACGAGGGTTATGAACTTGCTATTCTTAGCCAGCTAGCAGGGTGTAGAAACAACCCCGTTCTGTCAGCGGCATTTCATTTTAGAGCCACATGGTAAGGATGGGGCTACAACTGCCCTTCAGTTCCTTCGACCCCCTGCCGAAACACGGCTGACATCAGGAACAAGGGGAAATGCCGACCGATCAGTCACTTGACTGCTTAGTTCAGAAGAAACTTCTCTTCCAGGAGTGTTTGAACACAACAATCTCTGTTTGGCCATGTTCTTGGCATGGCTGAGGCTATTGTGCGTACGTGAGACGAAACAGCCCTGAGCCAATCTCGACGGCATGCTTGGAAGCGTCCTGCTTTTTCCCTATCATATTAATCAATGCTTGTCCGGACTTATGGAAATATCGTAGTCTCTTTTGCAACTTGCTTCAATGTAAATAATCGTTTTCATTACGTAGTGCTAGTCACCCCCGAGTCTTTGGGTCGGTGTAAATTCACCGACAGCGGTTGAGCGGCCAACCCATGCCCGGGATTCATTGCTTACTAGAAGATGCGGTTAGTCCGGGAAACGTCAACGGTAATTTTCAACGTTTTTATTACCCAAGCAGGAAGGTCGTCTCGGGGCCGAACCAACTGCTAAGCCGAGGTCATCCTTGGCTAACCTCTTAGCGGCTAACTTTTAGTTAAACCCGGATGATTTCAAGCTTTCTAAACGGAGTTTGTTCCTCCATTGTTTTAACAAGGTGTGAGAACGTGGGCTCAAAAATCTCCTAAAGGATACAGTAGAAGTACTCCCTCCTCGATTGCTTCAGCCTGATCTCACAGAACCGTGCTTCACATAACGCATATAATACACCATTTCATTGATGACTTTTGGACGACCCCTTTCGTTTCCAACATAAAATGTTGTGGTGCCTTCAGAACTCCTTGATGGGCGCTTTTTACCTGTCATTTCGGTGCGTACATTAGATAAGTTGGCAAATCAAGGAAGGAGTCAGTGAGCGATAGCCTGTTCTGTGTGTGGCTTAATGTTCCTCTCTCCCTTACGTCCCTTTCCCTTGTTGCCAAATCCAACATAAGACCACAGATTACAGGTTCAGTTGATAGTCAGAGAAAGTCTTGCCACATATCTTGCTGTAATCTATCTCGCGGATAAAGCTGGTGTATTCATCAGCGAGTATTGACCAATGTCAGACAATATCCTGTACACTAGTACGACTACTTACGAGCGTTCCAACCACCGGACGACACTCTAATCTATTTTAGTTTGAGTCTCTTATTACAGCTAATTGTGTTCATTAATTTTCAGAGTTTGAGATCGCTGCGAGTCAGTAACCAGATGCAAAATAACCGAATGAGCCCCATGTGGAAGGGAACCAAGCCTGGATGTACTTACGTGCTCATTCCATAACTTAGCGACTTGGGACTCACAAAATCCAGTGGCATTACCATAATGTTTGATAGGGCTGACTTACTCACTGAAAGTTCTTGACTATTAGTTGAGTCGCTCAGTGAGGCTGACAGCTGAATCATGAATCCTGCCAATCAGAGGCATTTCTTCGGGTCAGCTCCTGCAACGCCGCAATCCCACATCCGCGTGATCGATGAGCCGTCTTTCGCGGCTGCAACTCGGTTCATCACTCGTCATCACTCACTCCGGCCCCGACTCCATGTCCCTCTCCCTGGCGACAGCCGGCTATCGAAATGAACTATGGATCTCTATACAAAGACCTTGAGGTTTGCTCTACGCCCGGGGACGCAGCTCGCCAGTGGCGGGGTAGCGATGCTGCCAAGACCCACGACGACTACGACGTTGCGTGGATCTGCGCCCTTTACTTGGAGATGGCAGCTGCTCAGGCCATGCTAGATGTGACGCACGACGACTTGTTTGTACCCGAGAGCGATAGTAACTGCTATACCCTCGGGAGCATCGAAGGGCATAACGTGGTCATTGCTTGCCTCCCTGACGAGCAATACGGTACTAACAATGCAGCCAACGTGGCCGCCAACTTAGTGAGGACTTTTCCGTCTGTTAGAATTGCTCTGATGGTTGGTATCGGGGGTGGCGTACCTACAAAGGCGGATATTCGCCTCGGTGATGTTGTTGTCGGATCGAGAGTGATGCAGTATGATATGGGCAAGCTCACGGATGGAGGCATCCAAAGAACTGCTGTTCCGAGACTAATTCCGCGCTCGATTGGTACTATCGTCTCCAAATTGCGGGCGGTCCATGAGAACCTTCCCAGCAGAATACCAGATATCATGCGAGAGAAGCTGAGGCACAGACCAGACTACTGCCATCCAGGATTGCCCGATCGCCTCTTTGAGTCAACTTACGTGCATAGACAACTGATCGCAGACAGTCAACGTCCGAATGTTTCTCAAACTCTCACATGTGACGGGTGTGACCAGTCCAAACTACAGCCACGATACACGCGGCCAACAGATGAGCCTCGTATTCATTACGGCGCAATTGCATCCGGAAACCAAGTTGTGAAGGACGCCTCTATCAGAGATCAGATTGCTCGAGATCTAGATGTTATATGTTTCGAGATGGAGGCTGCCGGCCTCATGGACACCCTACCATGTCTCATAATTCGGGGTATATGTGATTACTCTGACTCCCACAAGAGCAAGGAATGGCAAAGGTATGCAGCAGCCACCGCAGCAGCGTGTGCCCGGGAAATACTTGGAATATCGCCCGTGAAAGAACATACTGTAAATACTACAGTTGGTAAGTGCCGAGTTCTTGAAGCGTGCTCGACCTGACAACTGACTGAACCGAAGACCAAACTCGACTGAGGGAGCATCGACAACATTTACTTAAATCTCTTCGCTTTGATCAGATGGATTCTCGAAGGGAGACAATACCGAATGCTGATGGTCCAACTTGCCGTTGGTTTCTCAACCACCCTAGTTATCTCGCCTGGTTGGACCCGAAGCAGCTTCCAGATCACAATGGGTTCTTGTGGGTCAGCGGAAAGCCTGGGACCGGCAAATCTACCATCATGAAGTTTACCTTCTCGCACATGGCAGAGGAGAATCGTCGCAAGATATCTCCTTATTATCGTCCGGATAGCTGTTTTGCATCTTTTTTCTTCAACGCCCGCGGCGACCGTTTGGAGAGGACCATCACGGGAATGTACCGATCATTGCTCATACAGCTTCTCGAGTGGTACAAGGATCTCCAAGTTATACTAGACAACTACAAGCTTGGTAAAGACAAGGATAATAGTTCGTTTACACTTGATACTCTCAAAACCATATTCCAGAATGCAGTGCTGGGTCTCGAGAAAAGAGAGTTTACATGCTTTATCGATGCTCTTGATGAATGCGATGAGCAGCAGGCTATCGACATGATTCAATATTTCGAAGACCTTACAGAAGAGTCCACGGAGAAGGATATCATGTTCCGTGTCTGCTTTTCGAGTCGCCATTATCCCTATATTGATATCCAGGGAAGCATTCGCCTGAGCTTGGAGGATCAGCCAGGCCACGATAATGACTTACAGATGTATGTCAAGCGTCGCCTGAAAGTCAGAGACGCCTCAATGCTCAAAGAGCTCTACCCATTGATTCTTGAGAAAGCTGCAGGGGTCTTCTTGTGGGTTGTTCTGGTTATCGGCATCCTTAACAAGGAAGATCGCTATGGCAGACCGGGCTTGAAGAAGAGGATCACGGACTTACCCAGCGATCTGAGCAGACTATTTAAGAATATGATCACACGAGACGATGAGAACATGGAAGAGCTTCAATTATCTGTGCTTTGGGTACTCTATGCAGAACGACCGCTGAGGCCGGAGGAGTATTATCACGCCCTGTGGGCAGGCTTATATTCAAAAGGACTAATGGATTCCGAAATTCCTACAACGTCCACTGCATCGTTGGATTCCAAGGCAAGGATTGAAAGATATGTCATCAGCTCGTCGAAAGGCCTAGTTGAGTTTACAAAATCCGATTATCCCACCGTGCAATTCATCCATGAGTCAGTCCGGGATTTCCTTCTCAAAGACGGAGGCCTTCGTCAGTTGTGGCCTGGTCTGAATGTCGAGTTGGAGAGTCCAGGCCACGAGAGGCTCAAAATATGCTGCGACACATACATCACGCATCCCATAGTGAGGGAGACTGTACTAAAGAGTCCGCGTGATACCGTCGCTCTGGCGAAATTCGCGTTTCTAGAGTACGCCAGCGAGCACATCTTGTACCATGCTAATATTGCCGGCAAGGCTATAGCACAAGACGACTTTCTAGCCCATTTTTCCAATGGGAGCTGGCCAGCCATCCCAAATGTCTTTGGTGTATCGGAATATGCACAGAACACGAGTATCTTGTACTTCCTTGCCGAGAAAGGATATCCTGCCCTCATTCAAGCGGCTCTAAGATCTAAGTCAGAGATCAACATCCCAGGAGAAAAGCATGGTTACCCGCTCTTCGCTGCTTTAGCTAACCGCCATATCGAAGCTGCTGCTGCTCTGCTTGGGTCAAATGTTTCCGTGTTCAGTACAGCCAATTTTACGCAGGACTTTGGGGACAAAAAGCACAACTCAGCAAAATATAGATTACGAACACCTCTTACTTGGGCTGCTCAAGGCGGGCATCGGGAGATTGCAGAGCTTCTCCTTAAGAAAGGATCATCTCCTATCGAAGTGGATAAGGGTGGCAAAACGCCATTATTCAGAGCTGCAATCGACGGTGGAGCCGCCGTGGTGGAAATTTTGGTCAATCACGATGCAAATGTTAATGAGGAAGATACGCATGGGTTAACACCATTGTCACAAGCGTTGATGAATGGTCATAGGGAGACGGCCAACATACTGATCAAGATGGGGGCCAGAGTCGATACATGTGTCTATGGCGGCTGGACACCACTCTTACTAGCTCTACACAACGGCTACAAAGCCTTGGCCATACTCTTGATTGAAAGAGGTGCAAATATCAAGTGTGCAACTGCCGACGGCTGGACTCCGCTGTTACTGGCTTCGGAGGGTGGCTCACTAGTACTTATAGATCTACTCGTTAAGTTGGGGGCAGACATCAATATGGAACATGAATTTGGGAGGATGCCAATATCCCTAGCAGCTGGGAATGGTCATCAGCCAGCGGTCGAGCTCCTCATCAATTACGGGGCCGAGATCAACAACTGTGACCAAGAAGGCTGCACGCCATTGCTGTCTGCCTTATATGGTGGCCACGAGCTCATAGCAAGGATGCTCGTGCAGAACGGGGCGGACGTCACATATAACAACTCATTGCCGCTTGTGCTTGCCTCCACAAAGGGCTTCTCTGAACTTGCAACCCTCATGATTCAGCAAGGTGCCGACGTTAACACCGAGATTAACATTGGCCCTACACTCTCCTGATAGATATAGGAAGAGAAGATGCGAGAATGGTGAAGCTTTTTTGATCCAATCCGGAGCGAATGTGAATTTCTTGACAACATCCAGCAGGCCACCTCTGTGTATGGCTACATAGCAAGCACGGCTTGATGGATATGATATTTCTTCTTATAAACAATAGAGCACAGGTCAACACTGCCACCGAATTGGGCGAGACACCACTTCAACTAGCTTCAAGAAACGGGCATGAGGAAGCAGTCGGACTTCTAATCTGCCACGGCGCAGATATTGTGGCTCGCGCTGACGATAGCTCAACCCCTCTGTCGGAGGCTATGAAGTCTGACCACAAGACTATATCCAATCTACTATCAAGGGAGCAGAAGAGGAAAGAATCAGCATAGCGAGTTTGTTGACCAACATAAACTCATGACTGCTTGATCGATGAATGGCATATTGCGGTGCTGTATACTTAGATATTAATGGGTAGGAGAATCAGATAGGTGCCTGCGCGGTAGGCTTCGTAATAAATTATTACTTGTTACTACTTAAGAAATAAATCAAATTACTTTGTCTGCTCTAGTAATGTCCAATTTATCTCATGCATATAATATTGAAGTTCCAGCCTAAGGATTTCTGACCTCGGAGTGAACGGATCGGGTCGGAGAATCAATACCGGAGTAACGGTGTACTCCGACCACCTTCGATGAAAACAATCTAATCGCACGAGCCTCCATGTCCTACCTAGGCACCCGATGTGGGAGCCACTGTGTCTATCGGAGGCTTTCGCTTTTATATTTCTTCTCTGCAATTCTCATCACTCAATTTGTCTTGTCGGATGCGGGACTTGGTGGTAATTGAGTCTTCGGCTTGTGGTGGAGAATCATGGAGTAATGAGGCACTCCGAACACCGGCACAACTTTCCTCACAACGAAACCAGCCTTCTCATAGAGGGTTCGTCCAGCTGGGGTCGCAAACATATAACAATCGACTTCCTGCCGTTGAGCTTGCTCGATGCCCCAATTCAAAAGTATCTTGCCAATGCCTCGGCGTTGGTGTCGGGGGTCAACGCCGATGTATTCAAGATCTAGCGGGTTTGTTAGCTGACAGCGAACCATAGAAAAAAGGGGAGGGAAAAACATGCGCCAAATATGTGCCGTTCCATCCTTTCCAAAGGTATCGACGGCATCGCCCCCAACAATTGAGCGCATCTCCTGGTACGCGGCCAAGTCCAGCCCTGCTGGAGGCTCGGGCTCCTTGGGGTGCAGATGGATGGGCTCTCCCCGTCCGTTGTTGACCGGAGCTTCCCAGAAGGAGAAGCCCACGACCTCGTCGTTGAGCTGTTCATCTACGACGACCATCATGACGGTGCGTTCGGATTGCAGCGAAGCACCCTTGCGGGCTTCACGCCACGGCGCAATTTTGGCATCGCCGGCGTCTCGGGGAAACAATCGGCGGGTGATTGAGTCGGTGGACGGATCAAAGGCGGCGGCGGAGATGCGACCGATGGCGGGGATGTCCTCCGCGGTGGCGGTTCTCATCCGAAGAGACATTGTGATTGACTCGTGAGAGGAAAACCTTAAGTGTAAGTGTATCTAAGTCTAGATAAAAGATTGACTCGAGATTACGCGGGTGGAAGAGTAGGAGTATGACGTCTGATGGCTTGGTGAGGTGGGAGCTATGAGACCTTGTCTTAAGAATCGGAGCCTAGACTCAGATTGTCTAAGTGAGGCTACGGAACCGGCTTAACTAATAAGTAAGTGGCCCAGGGTCTGACAGCAGCCCGTATCACAAGTCGATCTCTCCACTCGATCCACCATGTACCCTTGCCTCTTCTGTTGAGAAGCAGGCAGAAGCGAGATCCCAGAGTCTGCAATTGGAAAGCAATAGTGCTTCTGAGGCAGGTATTTCTGCGCCATGAGGCGGATGGGACTCTTGGTTGTTAAGACATCTGATGAGGCGAGTTGTGATGAGGCTTTCACCATCACATCATGATCGGCTTCACGTTCCGAGGGAGGACAAGTCTGTAGTGCCGGGTTTAGCCGTGTTGCATTAGATTTGCGAGGAGATAAGACTGCAACTCTGATTTGCTCTTGCTAGATTCCGATCCAAATGGGGAAGGAAGAAGTAAATACTTCGGCCTCTAGCTATAGCTATTGTCCGATTCGGAGCATTATGCTCGGAGCCTTCGGAGTGTTGAGCGTGCATTATTTGTTCCACTTATGAGGTATTCCGACGAGGCTGTCAGTGAATATGGAAGCGTTACGCTCCAAAATATGATTGGGTTCTGTAGGGGGGATGCTTGAAGTGCTTGCGACTAGATAAAAGTAATTGATTCTGTTTCAAATTCGCATCACCATCTTATCCTTGATATCAAGTCTCGGCTAAGGCGCATATCTAAAGCCGCTCACACCCTCCAGCACGGGCTTGATTCCTTGGTCGGCCAGTCTATTCTGCTTTTTCAGATACATCGACATGGAAAATACCGCAATTGAGTAACAAATCTGTAGCGCAATCGTGGACCACATTCCAGGGAGGTAGAGCTGGGTAGCAGAAAGTTAGTACTGGTAACTTCTTCACATGGCACAGAATCGCCTCACCGGTGCATCTTGGCTTCGAAACATGGTGCTACCTGCGATGCCTCCAGCGGCACCTATTGAAATCATGGCGGCCGAGACTACTCCTCTCTTCTCTGGTCGTGCCGTTTGATTCTGGCCATATGCCAATGTCCCTGGGCTGTGAACGGTTAGTACGCTTCCATAAAATAGCCGAGATGAGAGAACCTACACATTAGACTGTGCGCCGAAGACTGCAAGGAACATTCTACAATCGTAAGTAAATTGGATCAGCTCCTGAAGTGGCGATACATACCCGAAATATCGAACTCCTGGCAGCTTTCCGTAAATCATAATCAACAGACCAACGATGCTGGTAGAGTTGTTAGTCACCGTCCACTGTGGCCGACTCTCTCCACTTACGCAAAGCCGGATTGAATACATAGAATCCTTTTATGACAAGTTAGTATAATGATCCACGTTGATTCATTTCGTAAACTTACATCCATCGGATTCGGTACCTGTCTGATATCCATGCCATGAACATGCTTGCAGCAACGGCGAATAACTTGGGGCCCGTTAGCTAGATGATACGGTAAAAAGAGAATTGTCCACCTACATAGGGAGGACTCGACAAAAGCTGTGACATCGCATAGTTGAACCCCATGCCCTCATTGAGAATGATTGTCTTGAAGTAGGACAATGAGTAGACACTAGAAGCAGGGACAAAGTATATCAGAGTGCTGAGCACTTAGGTTAGTTTGGGGCTATTCAAATGATTGGTTGCAGTGTATAACATACTAAACCCCGACCTTCCAGTCTTTCAACATGGATAGGGCTTGTTTTATAGTAGGGTGCTCGTACTCGCGAGATATTTGGTCTGCATGGACGCGATTTGCTGCAATGTGCTTCTCGCGTGGGTTGAGAAAGGTTGCCTTTTCGGGAACTATGATAATTCTTAGCTTCTGGGATCAAACCAGCTTCGACATGCGTCCAGACTTACAGTCGACGAGTAGGAACACGGCAACTATTCCGACTGCTACCGTGAATGCTCCTTCGATGATGAAAATCCATCTCCAGCCGGCTGCGTACATGCCGTCCCCTACTCGGATAAGAGAGAGAGCGTATGCAATCTTTCTCATGTTAGCTAGGTATTTATCTTATCGGGGCCCAGTGTTACGCACGATTGGGCCGAAGCCACTGGCAACGAGTGCAGCCATGTAGAAGAAGGAAATCCGCTTGGCCATCTCGAACTGCTTGTACCAAGACCCGATTATGAACACAGCCCCGGGAAACACTGATTGCGGTGTTAGTTGATGGGAAGTAACTTGAAGGTGGTTCATTACTTACGGCCAGCTTCGAAGATACCCAGAAGGGTGCGTAATACGGTCAATGTTTGCCAATTATGGATAAACCCCATTCCAAGCACCGAAGCTCCCCAAGCAGTTACAAGGAAGCTCAACCACCATCGGGCTCCAACGCGTCGGATAACGAGGTTTGAAGGAAGTTCGAAAATTCCATATCCTGAAACACAAAAAGATTAACCTCTATCCATATAATTTAGGAATAATATCATACCGATAAAGAATACCAGAAGCGCAACGTTGTATCTCGCCCTGTCCCATGTTGTGTCAATACAAAAACGTCTCAGTATATGGCCTGGGGCAACAACTCACCCGATTTGCAACTGTAGGTCCTTTGATAATCCAGCAATGTATGCAAGAGAGATGTTGGTTCGGTCGAGCAACGAAAGTCCGAAGATGATGCAAAGCATCGGAAACACCCTCAGGTCGATCTTTCTCCTATAATGAAACCTTAGTTAACGAAGCCTATATACGGCTCACTCGGCGATAAAAACTCACACAAGGGCTTTCTCTTCTGATTCATTCCAGTCCTGCACCTCTCCGGCGGACTCTGAGGAGTTATTTTGCATTGCATCTTCGACAAGACTGGTTCTGTGATTGTCTTTTTCCTCCATGACGGTTATTGTAGTATAAGGTATGCAATAGTTGGAGTTGAGTTGAGGTTGCTGAGTTGCGTTGTTCCTGAGTTCTGGGGGTATAATGCTTATGTAGCCTCTTCTAGCGGGTCAAAGGATCCAGTCCAACGCGTACTACGAGCTTCCCACGAGCATCCTCGAATGATTTTCCCACCGCTCACCTCCCCAGACTGTAATGGGTGGAGTGAGGCCGGGGTAAGGTTAACTTGGGTTCGCCTTTATGCTCTACCCCCGCATTCTAACCCCGCAAACTACCCCTGGTGCATATTAACTCACATTATGGAGATATAGTGGACGAAAACTGGCCACTTTGTGTCGCTACAAAGGATAACTAGCAAGTATGGCGCGGGGATCCCGTTGGGGCAATGCTCAACCAAATGTCTGTTTGACTTGGGATACTCCAATTTCTGCGTCAAATTATGCTTATTTCTATCTTTGAACCTTATTTCTTTCTACTGAGTCTAAGAAATCAGGTGTAGATGAGTTTGAGGTTGAAGGTGAATATCACGTCTTCGTGATCTTCGGAGTACTAGAACGGTCCGAAATATCACAGAAAGCGATTGTCTGATGTGTAGTAGCCGAGTAAGACTTAATAGCCGACTTTGGGATGGCTTCCTCAATAAGATGTTGGTTTGGTTGTCAATATCGTACGAGTCAGCGGCAAGATACCGCCACTGTGAGCCTCTGGGTATAGACTACTTGATGAACTTTGACAGAAGGAAGCATTCTGATTCAGATTGATTTCCATTTTCTAGAGATGAGCTTGTCGGCAATCCATAGGAGTGTAGGATTCTAATGTCACCCTACGGTTTTACAATAATTGGAGAGACTTGTAATCGTACATGAGATCCGACATCGCACCATACTTTCCCCGCGTTCTCTTTCGATTTTGACGAAAAAAAAAGAAGATAAATCAAGTAAGTGTTCGTTGATCGTTTTCATTTCACCGTAAAGGCCGAGTTGTCTTCAAATCGGCTGCTGTCAGACAAACATCCAGGGCTTGTGTGCGGCCGCGGAGAACATTAACCGGCGTATCAACGTCAGGCAATATGTCATTTTCAAATCCCTGCCTGATAAAAATTGCGGGGTAATTGGCTCAATGGATCACACGGGCTACCATAGCAGTGCTTGGCAAGGTAAGGATGCCTACGTAACTCAATGATTTGCGGTGACCTGCCTTGCCTGCCAAAAACGGGAGGATTGTGCCCCCGTACATATTGAAAATGGGGTAAATAAAGGGCGTCGATGCTTGTCATGGATAACATCCTTCTGTATAAGGGATAAGGACATTCGATAATCTGGCAATCTGGGAAGCAGTGGTGGTATGGTCCATTATGACGCGGTTGATCAAATCAGTTTCCATACTTTGATATGAGCTTCTTCATGATGGCCATGGCACCACCACGGTAGCCCCCGCCAAAAATGGAATAGTGATTCAACTGATGATATCTATCATCCCAGTCAGTAATGTGGCACGATGAAGACAATTCCCTAATCAACATGCTTAACTTACAGTTCATATAGTTGGATCCTGTCTTCCCATTCCTCTTTCGGCTCCGCCTTGGGCATCAGCTTTTCATATTCCCCCCAGAACTTACTGTTATAGCCTCCAAACATCTTCATGATTCCAAGCTCATATTCTGAATGCCCGTACACGGAAGAGGGGTCATATACCACTTCCTCAACACCGCCCTCGCCCGCAATCTGACCCCGAGAATGGTTCCCACTCCACAAATCCCCGTGGATTACGACTGGAACAATCCCTTTAACAGTCTCGTCCCCAATCAATCGGGGGACGACACGGCTTGCTACTATTTCCACAGCATCTGCCACCTCGCGATCAGTCCCATTGTTCCTCACTGAGGCGCGGTATATACTGCGTAAGCGATTCTCGGCGTAGAAATCGGCCCACGACTCCTTCCAACTGTTTTCCTGAGGGGTATCGCCGCAGCACGTTGTGACGGGAAAGCCAAACATGGGCTTGTCGTAGCCCTCGGGTATTGGTGCTGGGGTCGAATGGAGCTTGGCGAGCTTGGCGGCAAGGGAGAGACCTGAGCCACCGGGAGCAGCGGAGCCGAGATCGAGGAAGTCAGTGGCGAGAAAGAATTTACTGGGAGACGTATCCATGGCTCCGTGAGCGTATGACCGAGGGCAAAAGTTGGGGAGGGTATTGTGGATTGCATTGAGAGATGCGTGTTCTCCTAGAATTTATTGTCAGTCTCTGGAGGCGGTTGGTGGATGAGAGAGGCATCAGACCTTGGAACATGATGTGGGAATCCTTCCCCAAGCCAGTTTTTACGAAGAATGTCTTGGTCTCTCCGGTCACGATGCCGGAGACCTTGAATGTGGATGAGAAGCCCCCACCGCCATGTGAGACCATTTTGGCTTGATCGGGGTCTAGCCCAAGGGCCCGAATGATAGCAGGATCGACTTGAGGGGCCATGATTTTCTAGCGACTGAGTGATCAAGAATACGTTTGGAAGTTTGATAGTTCAGAGCATGTGGACTTTGTCTCGAGCCTTTTGCGGTATTTGGGGAAAATGAGGGGCGTGACGTCAGCCATTCGTTGCAACCCTCGCCGTGGGTGACATAAACTCTACGTTTGTGCTCGCGAAGGGACAAAAGTGACCATGGGGCCTTCCGAAGCCGCTTAGGTATAGTGAATATTGGAAAAAGGATAGGTAGATAGGCAGCGAAGCAAGAGGCTAATGTCAAACAATAACCACGTATGCACAATAGAAGGATCCCACCATAATCACATATGGAGGCGCATATCAGGGAGTACACGGTCGAAACTTTCAGCTGCCAGTGAATTGAACTCACCTTCACGGATGACAAGAAGGAACAGCTCCTGATTGACATCGCGAAGGACGTTTTTGCTGCCCTTGTAATCGATTAGAATCTAGACTCCCAGGCGTTCGAAGCACTTATCAGGAAAATGAAGTCGACCAACTTACTCAAACATTCGACTTATCATAAGCTCGGGGCTACCAAGCATACTACCGAGAACATCGAGGAAACGGGGGACTTGATAAATAAATACGGGAGGGATGTGATGAAACCATTCCGTTAATGGGACTACTTACTGCAGCAAAACTCTTGCGAAAGTTGCCATGGGTACAGGAAGCCATCAGCTGCAAACGGATCGAGCTTACCAATACGAACGATCAGAGAGAACAGCTCCTGATAGATATTGCGAGGGATGTATTTGACTACCTTAGAATCAATCGGAAGGAAATCCCACAGGCGTTCAGCGCGCTTATTAACATGATGAAGGCAACCAATATCCTCAACCACGCCATGGGACTTGTCGACAGACTGACTAACCGGCCGAAACGGTACCATCTGTTTGAGAAAACCACAACGGCAGCGGCGGCGTATAATGAATCCGACGGCAGAAAGCGCCAGACACGCAGCGCAAACCAATGTACGCACAGGCTTTTGCAACCCCGACCTTTTGCAGTGTCCATTGCTTCGACCATTGGGGAAGCGATTGACGTTGTTTTGGCCGTTGAAATGAGCTTTGTTCTTGTCGTCCCAGGAACTGGACCTATTTGAAAACTTGTGCCCATCGCGAGGCCTCTACAAAGCCATTGTGAGACCAGTACACTCAGGAGTAGCTCGTCTCCTGACTGAGGATGGGCTTAATGATGGGCCGCGAGACGCTTCGCCTCAAACTCCGATCGAGTAAAGTTTCAACATTTGAAGGTTAAAGAATAATTAGCGGATTTAAATATGGATTTTGCGGCCATAAATTTCTTCCTGGGAATAAGACTGATTGGGAGGTTGGGTCCAAGATTTCACAGTAGGATCACATACGCGCTTTCACCGAAGCTCGGCGGAATATATCAATGCACCCAAAGCGGGCAGTAGAGCATATGGCCGAGACCAGGATGGGATTATATCATCTCTAAATCATTTATCTCTATTATTAATCGCATCTCAGGTGCAATTTTACATTTAAGGAGGCTCAATCTCGAACCACCGATCCTCTCATCAAGTAACACTCATTAGCCCACAAGCACCAATCCCACTTTGATCTTCTGCGAGGGAGAACATCTGTTATCACTAACAGTTTTGGGATTCATTTCGATTGCCAACATGGCTCCTTCATCCGAGGACGCTGGCGGTTCTCTTGACGCTGAACAACGAGAAACCAAGGCGTTGAGCCCTACAAAGGCTAACGCGACACCGACACAGTCAACGCCATCCACTGATACAGAAAACGAGAAAGAGGCTGAAGTTCGAGGAACTGACGAGCTTGACACGGAAGAATCCGTGATTGCGGCTCCAATCGAATATCCCAAAGGAGGCCACCTCGCTCTTATTACGACCGCCCTTGTTTTGTCGGTATTTCTGGTAGCACTAGACCAGGTATGTACACCACATTATTTGTCATGTTCAAATTTCTTGAGAGAGTCTAATTTATATCCTTCAGACTATCGTCGGAACCGCTATCCCCAAAATCACGGACGAGTTCAAAGGGCTTCAGTATGTCTCATGGTACGGCACCGCATACTTCATGACCGGGGCCGGCTTCCAGTCATCCTGGGGCAAGGTGCCAATATATTTCAATCTCAAGTACAGCTTTTTGGCAGCAATGCTGGTCTTTGAGCTGGGCAGCCTCATTTGCGGCGTTGCCCCCACAGCCACGGCCTTCATTGTCGGGCGCGCAATCGCAGGTCTAGGCTGCGCGGGAATTACAACTTGTGCCATGACCATCATGGTCCTCAGTTCAAGACCGGAGAATGTCCCAAGGTTCATGGGCGTCATCGGGGCCACGTACAACATCGGCGCGGTATGCGGGCCTCTGATCGGGGGCGCGTTTTCGGAGGGTGTCACTTGGCGCTGGTGTTTTTACATAAACCTGCCCGTCGGCGGCATTGCTCTTCTTGTTGTGCTGTTCTTTTTCCATAATCCTAGTCACTCAAAGCCGATCGACGCCACCTTTCGAGAGAAGATTGTGAACCTGGACTTGGGGGGCGTGGCTCTGGCCATGGGAGCCATCATCTCGCTGACATTGGCTCTCGAGTACGGCGGACAGAAGATGCCCTGGAACAGCAGTACCGTCATAGGCCTTTTGATGGGATTCGTGGCGATTCTAGTCGCCTTTGTGGCCTGGCAGATCTGGCAAGGCGACCGAGGGATGACGCCGCCGCGGGTTATCAAGGTCTTGCCCATCTGGTCCACGTCCTTGTTCCAATTCTTCTTCGCCGGTTCTTATATGATATCGCTCTATTATTTACCGATATACTTCCAAAGCGTCCACGGTGTGAGTCCGATCCAGTCTGGTGTAAGAAACCTTCCATTGGTCATCGCTTCGGCCATTGCGATCCTCGTCACCGGTCAACTCGTCGCCAAAACACAGAGGACTGGGCCTTTGATGGTATTTGGCTCTTCTCTCGCAACTGTCGCCTGTGGTCTGTTTTATACATTCAGTATCGATACCTCTACCGGAAAATGGATTGGGTACCAGATCCTCGCCGGTGCTGCTTGGGGCAGTGGCTTTCAAATGGCGATCAACACTGTCCAGGCCGAAGCAAAGCCGGCAGATCTCTCAACCGCAATCTCTCTTATTTTCAGTAAGTTTCTTCGACAAATCCTCCGCACCGGAAGGAACACGAGTTTAACTATTTCGCAGCTTTTCAAACCTTTGGTGGAGCCTTCGGCATCGCGGCAGCTCAGAGTGCTTTTGTGAACATCATGACGAGCAAACTTGCTTCTACTGCCCCCACGGTTGATCCCGCCACGCTCATATTGACTGGCTCGGCCGAAATCCGGAATGTGTTTGCACCTGATGAGATCCCTGGAATTGTGCTTGCCTATATGTCGGGACTTAAGGTTGCTTTTGCCCTGATGGCCGGATTCGCAGGCATGTCCTTTCTCTTGAGTGGTCTACAGAGCTGGAAAAAGATTTATGGTGAGAAGAAAGCAGCCGATGTTATTCCAGCCTAGATGATATTATATTTAGCATCACTAATATAGAATTCTGATGGGGGGAGGGGAAATGGTTGCGCGATGTGCAAGGAGAGATTCAAGTTTTAGGTGGGAAATTACAAGATTGCAAGATACATAGAGAATCATATAGAGCATGGATTTCTTTGGGTTTAGTTTAATAATTATTATAAATTCAATTTGTCTCGAGTTTTATTCGATTCCCGGAGCGTCTGTTCATAGAATAAAACCTTCTTTGTTCCAAGCACCCGTAGAATCAAACGTGACCTGGTCCAAGGTCTACGAAGTCCAGTTATTTAAACCCAGAATCTCATCCGGAAGATCTTCCTCTCGCATTGATGAATCGCTGACATTGACGCCCGACAACCGCGGCACAAAAGGTGCAGTTCCAAATATCTGTGTCTGAGTGGCCGCCAAGGCTTCTGAGGGAAAGTCTGGGGAATCCAATACCAGAAATTGGTCCATATCAATGTCAAAATCCGGCATTAGGGGCATCAGTCCAGATTGTGGATCAAATTCATCTTCGTTTTGATCCTTGGAAGCCACCTGTCGGCGTTCAATCGTGATATGGCTAAATTGAGGAATAGGGATGCCAATAATTTTGGAGCCTTTCTCCTCTGCTCCATCATCCACATCTTCATCCTCAACAGCAGGGCCAGACCGAATTCTCACAGTGTAGTTACGCCCTTTAAAAAAGTCCTCCTCTACAACCAGCAGGCGTCGTAAGGCTTGCTCGTTTTTTTCGTCCAGGAGTCTACCTTCGGATCCCCTCACGTCCTCGGCGGCCTGAAGCATGCACTCTATCATGGCACGATCACTGCGACGCTGGTGCGCAAAGACACTAGTGATCTTCGGATGCAGTCGGCTGTCAACATGCCCAAGAAGCAGTGCCATGGAGCCCACCAGGGCAAGGAAACCCAAGGCACGATGGCATGCCCCTGCGCTCCTAAACTGATGGGAAGCGAGAAACCGCGTGAGGAGCTCACGGCTTGCACTCATGCAGGCGATTCTTGAATAGTCATACTTAGGATCAGGGTCGAAGAGGAGGAGATATGGTAGGTGGAGTTGAGTCACCAGGTTGAAGTAGAACATCTGGGCGGATACGCGAGCCATGGCCCAAAACTCATCCTCGGACCCAACACTGACACCGACGAACCTTGGGGATATCCAAAATTCTTCGGGCATAGTTGAGCCTACCTTGATGAGCTCTGAGTCGATCTCCTGCGTGAGATTCAAGTCATCCGCTTGAAGGCCTTTCTCGTTGCGATCTATTATCCGTGAAGCTATCACAGCTTGAAGTCGGCCAAGCTTGTCCAGGGGTCCGTCCGAAGCCAGCACGGAGTCAGGGGGCATTTCAGTATGAGGAGTGCCCTGTGGAAGTCCAAGTATTAGGCAAAGATAGCGGTCCAGGTAGAGAATGCGAAACCAGACAAAATGGGGTTCCGTCTTGCAGGAAGGATCAATGTTTTTGACCGGTGGTGGGCGGGAGCGGTGGATGCCCATCATCTGAGCAACTAACAATGCTCTCCTCACGACTTGCCATGCCTTTCTCAGGTTTCCATTGGTCTTGTGAAACACTGACTCGTAGATGATGCACTCAAGACATTCCATGGTGCCGTGTAGTTTTTCGTTGGTGGTCACCAAAGTCGAGACGGCATCGACCAGTCGGTTGATTATTGCGCCTGGCTCCTCAGCCAAACCGTGAATGTTGTCAATGCCGGCTTGGAGAAATGAACTGAAGAGGAGCATTTTCTTTGCTAAGAGGACTGGGTGGGAGGCAGGGTCCATCAGCTCTGCACTTGAAGGCGGCAACTTCAGCGGTGTCAGCCCTTCTCGCTCCAGCGAGCCGAAAGACGCGCTATCTGCTAAATGGAAGTAAAACTTGTGGCAACGCATGAATTGGCAGATATTATCTGTATCTTGATGAGAAGGGAAGGCAGCCAACAGCGCGCGCGTGATTTTGCCATTTTCTCCTAAAAGAGGAGGCCTTTGTCTACGAGCGTTCAACGCCACTGTGCCGGGCACAGATGGCTGGACATTATTACTAGATGGCCAGTCAACATGAGACTACGGTAACCATTAGCTTTCGGATCATGGAATGGAGGCGGTTCCGGGCATCACAAACCTCCTGCAATCCCCGGTCTACCCCTTGAACCTCATCACTACCATTGCTTGAAATAGGAGTGTCATGTAAGCTGCGTATAGGTTGGCCCTGAGCAGAAATAATGGTGCCCGTGAGTACGTCGACTTGCTTAGCTAGATCTTGAACCATGTCTTCAACCCTTGCAATTCGATCACCGATTTGCTGGTCCCTTGGCGGGGCCAGTTCCTCGGGCAGTTCTTGGCCAGCGCACACGGCACCGCGCCGACGGCAGTTGTTACACACGGTGTCATTGGGGGACGCAAAGACGCAACGGACTTTGCGGCGTTTGCAGTCCCAGCAGCTCCGCGTCCCTTTCCTGATGTTGTGGCGCCTCGCTGAGATTTCGGAGGCTCGAGATTTGTGGGCCTCGGCGGGATCCGGATAGAGCATGTTTAAGGCAAAGACCGATGAAGAATTCTATTATGAAGAGGGAAGAGTTCGACTCGGTCAGCGAGCCGAACTTGATCTCGCGCCACTAAAGTGATGTGGTCTTCCGCCGAAGCTCGGTGATGGCTGAAGCGTCCACTCATAGGCCGCATTCCAACACAGGCCCACTCTAATATTCATCCCGTCATCCTCCCAGATTGGCTCCAAAAATCGCTTTAGGTTAGTAATAGAAGAGATTAGGCAGTCATTATGGATTATCTTCTTCTTCGCCTAATATGGTTATTATCTTCTGTGTCGAAATCTCAGTATCAGGACTACTAGGTACATACAGTATGGAGACTAATATCGGTCGTACGTTCTACCTACCCTAGAGCCCACATCATCACCCCCTCGGCTTGCCAAGCTCTCCTTAACCGGCTGGCCTCCTCTTTTGGAGAGGTAGAGCTGCACATTTCTCACTCAAGTAGTTAATTTCTGCAAACGGGCCCTTTCTTATGTTTCCTTTGTCAGAATTGATCACTGACAATATCCAAAGAGAAGATGACGAGGACCAAAGAATATGCTGAGTGCCGTTCCATCTTCACTCATAATTACGACACATTTCTTCTCTTAATTTAACCAGAGGGACTATTAGATTGCCGTGATATTAAAGAATCAGCAAATAGGTTAGCTTTCAAAAAGGGCCACATTAACGATTGAAAGCTTTTGATAAGCTTTATAGCATGTTTATGTCCTCATAGCAAGCAGCTCTTTCCACACAAGGCAAATTTTGCCGACGATCACCTCCATGAATTATTGAAAATTGCCTTGCAGAGGCTTAGAGGTGGCGTTTTATAGAAGGCCCATTGAAATTTCTTCTAAAATGCGACATCAGGGTTGCAGTTTCATCCATCTTGGGACAATAATGACCCGGCACGTACGGCGTGGCCAATGATGAGACGCCAACAAAATAGCTATGCAGCTTATTTGACCGGTAAGGCGTCCAGCTCCCTTTATGATGGTTCGCTATAAAAGCTATAAAAGTCACAAAAGGGGCTTTTCAAAGCAATAGAAAGTTGCGTCTTTCCTGGCCATGACTTCTATTCTTAACTTACAATGGAATCACGACCACGCCCAGCAAACCGTGGCGAGTTTCGCATCGCCATCATCTGTGCTCTCCCGCGGGAGGCTGATGCCGTTATCCTGCTGTTCGACCAAAAATGGGGTGAGGAGGGGGAGGAGGGGGAGAGCTATGGCCGTGCTGAAGGCGATGGCAACCACTACACCACCGGTCGTATCGGACAGCACGATGTTGTCTTGGCCTATCTCCCAGGCATGGGAACCCAGAATGCAGCAGCCGCGGTGGCGAGCATGAAGACCAGCTTTTCCGGGGTAAGGTTGGCACTTCTCGTCGGAATCTGTGGCGCAGTGCCCAGAATCGGTGATGATGATGTGATGCTAGGAGACGTGGTCATCGGCAACCGCATTGTCCAGTACGACTATGGCAAGCAATATCCGGGCCACTTTGAAATAAGGCCGACACTCGCTGGGCCGGATGGGGATCTTTTGGGTCTACTTTCTAAATTGGATACGGAACATGGCAGACTTCGGCTGCAGAAGAAGGCGAGGAGATATCTGAAAGAGTTGCAGCACGAAGCTGCTTCGTCCGATTCGGAGACGGGCCGACGTCGTCGTGCAAGCTACTTATATCCAGGCTTGGGGAGAGACACATTGTTCCGAGCGGACTACATTCATCAACACGGTATGGACTGCCATAAATGCCGCAAAGGTTTCTGCGAAAAAGCTTCGAAGGCCTCATGCTCTACTCTCAGGTGTGATAGATCGAAGCTAGTTTCAAGAAAGCCGTATCACATTAACGACCACAACTATCAGTCAGAGATTTTTATCCGGCGAGTGGGCTCTGCGAACACTGTGATGAAATCCGGAAAAGATAGGGATCGGATTGCTGCTGCTCATGACCTCATTGCCTTTGAGATGGAAGGCGCTGGTATTTTGCACCAAGTCCCATGCATGGTGATCAAGGGTGTTTGCGACTATGCAGATAGCCACAAGAACAAGACGTGGCAGGACTTTGCAGCTGCCACAGCCGCGTCTGTGATGAAAGCTGTTTTGCAGAGATATGATTGCGATGACAGATTTGCTGCTCACAGCCGGCCAATTTCACCGATACTCACTTTCTGCCATACCATCCCATATATCCGGAATCACCATTTTATCATGCGCAGGGGAGTAGCAGAGAGGTTGGAGGTCCTTTTACCACCAACATCTTCATGCGCCGAGGCTGCGCTTTGGGGTTTAGGCGGATCAGGGTAGGCTTCAGTGTTCTTGTGGTATGTTATCTGGTATAGAATTGCTAACCTCGAGTAGAAAGACTCAAATCGCCCTAGATTACGCATATCAGAAATGGAATTCTAGGGATACTTTCGTATTCTGGGTGCATGCAGATACAGAAGCGACTTTCATGCAGGATTACAAAAATATTGCGCGCAAACTCAGGCTGAGCGCAGAATTGAAGGGGGAGCAGCTCCTGGAGGCCGTGTGTGAGAAGATAGAGTCACTTCCACGCTGGTCACTCATTATCGACAATGCAGATGACATCGATTTGCTCAGGCATTCCGGGAGGAGATATACAAGGAGGGACTGCCTGCGAAAATATATCCCCAAGTCTGCCTCGGTGTCCGCAACAGTGGTCTGGACAAGCCGCGATGAGAGGATTATCGGCACTTTGGTTGGGGCAGGGTGCGGCATCGAAATAGCCGGAATGAACTCTTCCGAAGCGCGGAAACTATTCGAAATTACAACAAATAGAATGATAACTGATGGAGATACACAAGCCAACGCAGAAACCCAGCAGCTATTCAATGAGCTACAATGGCTAGCATTGTCCATAAGCCAGGCTGGAGCATATATGAGGCGGGCTTCAATGTCAGCGGGCGAATATTTAGCTCTTCTCTCAGATGATAACCGTCGTTGGGAGCTTCACCAGTCAAGTGAGGCGGCATCAGACCAAAGCCACAGCAGACCCGGTGTACCCAACAGTGTCCCGGGCACATGGCGCATCTCCATCGAGCGGATCCGACAGGAAAACGAGCTCGCTTATCATATATTGCATGTTCTGGCTTATCTTGACAATAAGAACATCTCGCATGTCATTATGGAAGAAGCAGCGAAACATCACGGCAGAAGTGCTGCTCGTGACCGCACATCCCGGGCATCCTATCAAGGACATCAGTTTGTGATAGATGACGATAGCCCTAGCACACGGAGCTTAGATGTAATAGAAGCTCTATCTAGGCTCAAGGAATACTCCTTCGTTCGCGTGGAGGTAAAGGGAGGAAAGAGAATCTATGAGATACACAAACTCGTTCAAGATGCTGCTCGCTATGGATTACACGTGCGATCGCTGACAGGCTCCCAAAACAGTACCAGGCACCAGAGGAGCCAGCAGAGACCAGACAATGAGACTTATTTTTCCGCAATCGCCCTGCAAGTCATATACAGTCTCTATCCAAGGAGAGAAGATAATGCGTGGGATCAGGCAGAGAAATACCTTGCCCATGCCATGAGAATGATCGAATGGGTAGAGGTTTCCAAGATGCCAAATCGTACAGCATCTCTTATAGATCGGGTCCGACTGTTCATATCAGGCCGAACTGTCTACCCAGAAACTATGGTGTTGAAGTTGGCAGAAAAGACACTTGAGATTCGGGAAAAGGTCCTTCCGTACCACCACTCAGATACTCTCAGAAGCATGTACGATGTTGCGAGAGCGCACTACGACCTTGGAAACTACGTTGATGCTGAGGTCCGGGCAGATCAACTGTACCCGTTAGACAAGAGAGAATTTGGTGAAATGTCACGCCAGACAACCGAAACCCTGTTGTTGAAAGCAGACGCAATATTTAAGATCGGGCGTCGGGATGAGGCGGAACGACTGTTGCATCATGCAACAGACCGCTACAGTCGTGCAGGCAAATATAACAACACATTCGGCAAGGTCATGTACCATCGTGCATGGATGCGCAACCGTCGAGGAGACGACGACGGGGCTCTACAACTAGCGCTGGCTGCGAAAGAAGTTCTGCAACAATATGAGCCTAGTCAATATTACGTTTGGTGTATGCGGCTGGTGGCTGAAGTTTACATATATCGTATGAACTATTCCGACGCTGTTTCAACACTCCGGCCTGCACTGAGAGACTCCGAGAAGGCATTCGTGGCATTTGACACAACCTTTGATATCATGTTCCTACTAGCCTTTTCACACTTCCATTTGGCCGAATATGACGAGGCGGAGTTCGTGGTGAAGAAAGCAGTGAATGGAGGAAAAGACATGCTCGGGCCAGCTGACTCCCGAACTCTCCAAGCTCAGAGCCTACTTGAGAAGATAAAAATCGCAATCCGAGATATTGATGACGAACACATACCTGGGAATAGGGCATCTATCAGCCACGTTTTGAACGCAAAGTTGCCAATCATAAATTACATATCGAATTGGAGGGCTTTTCTTAGCAGTGGAACTCCCAGAAGTCGCCGATATTAAGAATGTCCTTGGTCTGATGCATTGAAGGTCCCCTTTGTATTTGCTAACCCACACGAGATTTCGTCTTTCACTTTCACCGTACGACGAACAGTAGTACCTGGACCGATCCTCTCAGAGATCTACTATGGAGTTTTCCGTTGCCGAGGCTCAGCATTCCCACGGCATGACTGAAATCACGCCACGGAATTTGCCCTGTCCGCCTCATTCTCCTGTCTGCGGGCACACTAACCCAAAAATTGGGGTATAAGCCATCGGGGCATCGGGGTATCCACGAGTTTGACCGCCCGTTATCATGCCGATCGAGCCTCTCTACGGATGGAAAGGGAAGCGAAAAGAGGCGTTGCGGCCGGGGCTCCAGTGGTGGCGGAACACCCGGCTGCAAGGATCACCACTGCTTGCATGAACATGAGCACATCGTTCATCTGAAGGCCAGTCTTGTGATGATGACCCCCTGGCAGGCGGGGCCGAGGTATTTGGGATCTAGAGCCGAACGGGCAAACAAAGCATCGCCCCGGTCGTCAAAGGGGGTCACCTGAAGCGGATCGCGCCGCAAGTAAAACATGAAGGTTGCTTGTCTGCTTGTCCTCAGGTGGTGGTGCATCAGCGGCGGCCTCCGCAGGTTTCCAAGGATATGGATAGGGTATCAAGATCCTCGTTAGTGCCGTGGCGAGCTGAATGACCAAATCTTAGCATTGATGAGCGGCATGGGCCTTGGCCCGGACACAAGCTGAACAATGCGGCCGCATTAAATACGAAGCTCGGCCTCGCTTTCAGGAGTGCTGCCTGGGGTTTCGTCAGCAGCCTGGGCTTTCTACGCTTACAGTCGGTAATATGATAGTCCTGGCATATTACCAGCCGTCTGGGAGAGCTGGGCAAATTGTCCCGCAGTCTTTACCGCCAAGCAGAGGATATTAGTCGCTTAATTTGGGGATATGGGGCAAGCGGGTAGAAGAATCTGACGGCAATCTAAGTCCTATCAATAGACGATGGCCACGAACCAACGTGTTGGTTTTGTAGGCGGGAGAGGATGTGATGCAGACGGGGATCCCCGATGAACTCCCCCTTACCCCTGTAGGCGAGCTTTCTTGCAGGCATCTAGCTCTCCACCCCCAGGTGACACAAGAGCATGTTCCAGCGGAATGTTCAGGCCATGTTAATTAACCGCTAGGGTCTGGCAGGGTAGTTCTTACCATGCCATAGGTAACAAATGAAGGCTGAAACTACGTCGGAGAGACATCATCTTAGCTAATGAGTTATGAGAAAGTAAGATGGCTAAAGAGAAAGACAAAAGCCGAGAGCCAGGAAATTAGACAAGAAGCAATCGGGCTTTGATTTCGTTGAAAGGTGACCTTAGACTAAACCCAATCCTGGTTTCTTCAAACCCTCGTCCAATTCAAAGCCATTGATTGACGGGAAAATCCTATATTCCAGCCTTTCAACTATGCTCTAACTGCAAACAGGTTGGCTGCTTGGCTTTTGAACAGAGTTACTGGGGTTAGTCTGGCCACATCCATTAGCTACGCCTAGGAGCGTATCGTCCACTGCGGCATTATAGGCCGCACCGCAATTTGGGTCACTAAGAGTCAAATATTACTCCCCGTAGTAGTAGAGAGAGAAAACTGCAATGCGAGCTTACCTTGCGCCACCGCTTGCACTGTTAAAGTAGGAGCATATGTCATGTGAAAAGCAGTCCTGTGTGTACGCATTTCCAACCGCAGTGCCTGTACAGCCTGCTCCGCATCGACCATTGCATGAATAACTAGAGATTAGAGTAAGAATCTTGCATCCAGCAATAGGAATTGATCGTCCGAAAATCCAAAAACTTACTCGCCAGATCCGGAGGGATTTGTACCAAAGTTACTTCCCACTGCTCCAGTCCATCGGCATGACTGCCCGGCTGAGTTGGTCCATTGAGCTGTAGCCTGTTTTCCAACGGTCAAACAAGTCACAGATCGCTTTTCGATGGCCGGAGAGGCAATAGACAATCCCGCTAAAGTGAGGAACAGGGTAGTATTGAAAAACATTTTGTAATATCCTCGGCAACGAATGGCGTATAGAAACCGGGTTGAGCAAAGTGCAAACGAACGCTCAGACCAAATAGCGCAGCCTAATATATTTATACACAAGTCGAGGTATTCTTCTTTCCACTTTTGCTTGTTAATGAATGACACTCTCCCCACAGACTGGCAACCTCTCGGAGAAAATTTCGGAGCCAACCTCAATTCCAACGCGACTCAACAGCCGAATTACCACAATAGGGTAGTACCCGACGGAAGACAAATGGTGTCATCGGTTCAGACAACCCAATTTGGTTCTTAAGCTTCTTAAGAAACATATATAGAGACATTCAGATCATCCGGGATTAACCTATCGAGGCCCTGAGACTCTGCTCCGCTTCAATGTAACATGTTCAGCACATAAATAAGGCTGCGCATGACCTAAGTTCTACGGCCAATCAACTCCACAAGAAAATTGCAGTTTCATGGAAGAAACCATGTTGTTACCATTTAGCTTATCTCTAAGTTGATCGGACCTACTGTTGACTATTCCGACCCAACCCTATGGGCCTTGAATGTCATGCTCTCACATTATTCTGGTTTCTTATCTTGGAAGGCAGTCTTGGAGAATTATTTCATCGCCTAGTTAAGTTTTCAGCTTGGTATTTAATCTAATTATATTAATGTAGATTGTTTAACCATATAATTACCCATCTATAGGCATTTACATACAGTACCGGTATTAGTTGTTTTGTTTCTAGAAGTATAATAACGGATAACGGGAAATCAGGGTGCCAACTAGAGCTCTACTTAGCCGATAATGCTCACCGAAAGTTTGAGGAGAACCCAGAGCAGGTTAGCTCCTTCATTCAGAAAAAAAGGGTTTGGTTATAAATGGGATATGGTATTGTCGCTAGATTTACTTTCTGGCAAAAACAGAGTTTGATTTCCTTTGATGTATAAACAATAGATCCTACGTGCTTCATTCGGTAACATGTCAGGCAACGAACGCAAGCATATAAGTCATGGTTTCGCTTCGAGCCAGGTTTCTTACACTAGTTCTAGTTCTCAAACACTCTAGCTGGTCTTGTCAAAGGGGATCATTCTGAATGCCGACCCTAACAACGAGGTTGATCATTAGCAACTTCAGGCATATGTAGGAGTTGAGCCACCGCATGATTTAAAAAAGCTCATCACGAGAAGTAGGCGTTTCCAAAGCGTATTGAAAGAAACAACTTGTCTCTCAATGTCTCTGTTCCATTGCTATGGAGGGCCTTAATAATTTCCTATTGGGAATGATATACCTTAGTATGCAAAGCATGCAAAAATGGCTCACATCATCTTTATAAATAGCTAGTTACTCTCATGGCATGTCGCGTGATGTGGTTCACAGCTCATCCACACACCCACAAATTTCGATGTCACCGCTGACGTGATGCTGCAGGGATATCCGGTTTGGGACAGTCTGAAGAACATCTAAAGAACAATTGCTGTACTTTTAGATGTCAAGTATTGGTCAAGAAGTATCCATGATATTGAGGATTGCGTGTGACAGCAAGGTTGCAAGTCTTGATGGCCAGCTATGGCCACCGGGCTCTATTCCTTCTTTATCCTTAAATGTTCCACTGTGTCTGACCTCACCGCTAATAACTTTCATATTTAGCCGCTGTTCCAGAAGGTAGTCTGGTCAGGGGCTCGGTAACGTACCGTGCATAGAGCCGTGCATGATCCACTTGAGAATGAAGTCTTTTACTGTAGACGATCAAACTGCCCACTTGCGTCCGGGCCGCAGATTGAAGGCCGAGATGTGACAGGGCATGGTTCGTCCCCAGTGTTTCGCTTCACTTTGGCCAGGAATGGTTTCAAACGAGGTTCGCCTCTCCTCTCACTCACCCACGCGCATTGACTTTGCTCTTACTCCCCCAAATACTCATGAGGGTGGTCAGCGTTCTATACGAAAAAGGCGGTGTGCCAAGAAAAGCTGAGATGTCAAGGATTCATACTTGGACGTCCCTCCAGTGGTGTTCTTCCCCAGCCCTCTCAGTGAATCACTCATCTGTTTGGCTGCTGATGGTTGGTGTCGATGACTCCGGCAGCAACGGCTTCGGGTTCCACGGCTGAGCGGATTCAACGGAAAGTGTCCCCGTATTCAGTCGACAATGCGCTTGAATGAAATGACAGATCTGATCGATTCACCGAAAGTCAAGCACCACCGATATTGCCTGCAGGGGAGTGGGGCCCCGGGTTGTCACCCATGGGCTAGGAAGGACTGGGCGAAGTTTGCGATCTCTGCGACTTGTTCAGGGCTCACAGATCGAGCTGGGTTGAGCTTTGACTATGTGCTGGTTACAGGTCATTATAGGGCCGAGTTGTTATGGGGAAGACGTCTCGTGCTGTCAATATGCCCACTCCTGGCTCGGCCTGATCGCTCCCATGAGCTGGTCCTCTCCTGCGGAAAATCCCAGGCTGGCAAAAATAAAGCCATCGTCAGGATGCGGATTCGCTTACCATCGCCCCCAAGAGGAACAGTGTAATGGTAAGCCACGTGGTGCTTTCCCTTTTGGTTTGGGATCCGCACGAGGAGGCAGGCTCACTCACCCTGTTTATCCTTTAACTTATTTATACAGTGAGTTGCTGCTGCCTTAGTTCTTCCGTCCGTGATTAAGCAAGGACCGTATTTCAATCGGTGGCGGAAGATTGAGGGTTCCCCCTTGTCGTTTCCCAAATAAAATAATCAAACCCCCTGCCCAATTATAGCTGTGGACCGCATAGAAGAAGGGGTAACCCGACGATTAAGGGTTGATAAGTTCAGATGACGTCTTTCCAATAAGAATACGGAATTGGACGCAGGGACGAGTCGAAAGTTCTTGTGGCTCATAATAACACGAACAATCTTTCTCGAATCTCTCATCAACAACAACCAAGGCACCTTGAGTCACACCATTCCAGATCGCATCCTCGTCACAGTCAGATGACCTACACTATTTATACCGTCTACCCCCCACGTCCAACCCCGCAGAATCCTTCATCGAGGCGAGAGACAAGCATCCCATTTTCTCGCAGTATTGGCAAGCCCGTCATGGAGTGTCAAGTCCTCAGCACTTGGAACCAGTGCGCGCCTAGAGGCTATGTCCGGCAGTGGTTCTGCTTCCCTTGCCGACAAGACGTCAACCTCAAGAATCTCAGAAGTCATCTGGCCAATTGCTTAGAGCAACTCTCAGCACAGTTTCCTTTCATCAAGAAACGTGTATGTCTCCTTTCGAACCCGGCAGGATATGTGGCTTTTGGTCCCGAAGAGTTCCCACAGGTTCCACTCAAGGTTCTAGACCAAAGAAACACGTTTGCCTTCACCTATGGAGAACTGAAAGCGCAAGGATTCCCAGCCAAAGCGTTTGTGGGACCATCATACGGAGACCTGCCATACTCCCTAGCGCAAGGCCAACCGGGTGTTCCCGTGTTTGAGGTCCACGCAAGAGTCATCAAGGGTGGATTGCTGTTGTGCAACTACTGTCACCATTCAGTCACGGATGGCCACGGGGTGGATCATTTGATGCGGACTTTTGCTGAGCTGTCTCAACTGTCGACGGCGGATCTATCAGTTAAGAGACCGGTGGACGTTCATGTTGACATACCGCAGAAGGTCATTACTGACTTTAAGCCAGAGCTTAAGTCTATGAGATATGAACAGTTGCTGCGGCTATGCCCAGAATACCGCCTATTGCGATCACCTACCGGGCCGACCCAGTGTCTCATGAAGCCAGACGGAGTTCCTTTAGCACATATCCAGAAAATCGGCCGAACATTCGTCTTCAGCATTAAGAAATTGGAGGCACTTCAGAAGGGAATCCTTTCCAGCAAGGGTGGATCATGTCGAAAACGTTCTCCATCCAAATTCACCTGTCTTGCGGCGATTACCTGGGCACACGTTACAAAGGCTCGTCTGTGTATGGCTAGGCGCCGGTCTCAGAGCTCTTCGACGTCTCATCCTAAGAAGATTCGCATCATGCTCTGTATTAACTGGAGCCATCGGGCATTTGGGGACATTATGGGGCACGCTTCAGGCAATACAGTCGCACTCCCCGTCTCGTCTATCGATACCGCCACCATCTTTGCTGCGTGCAGCACCAACAAAACAGAGTCATTTCAGGCGTTGAGTGCCATAGCTCATACTATCGAGTCGACGGTGAATAGTGTGGACGAGAATTTTGTGGCCCTGCGAACTGCGATGTTCCGGGCATGTCCTGATCCACGATATATTGGGATAGATCTTGATCCGCGGGACCCTTCAACATTCATCTTCAATACTTGGCGACATTACGGCACAGAGGTACACAAATGGGGACTTCCAGGACTAGGGGATGACGAAGAAAATCAGGACGACAGCCAAACCGGGAAAGGTGCCTCTCCGGATGCCATCAGGAGATCTCAGTCAGAGTGGAATATGGGCGCCGGACTTATACTACCAGCAGGCAACGATCCTAACATCTTTGAAGTGGTAGTAACTTTGGCAATCAATGAGATGCTGGAATTATGCGCCGACCCGAGTTGGGGGCAGCTGGTGGACAAGGTCTTAGAGTAAGAAACAGAAAGGTTTCTAATTATTAATGGCATGATGACATGATAGCGAATTAACGACAATTCTTCAATCCCTTCTCGACTATTATCATCCTGATCTCTCCGTGACCCCCTTTTTGAAAATCATGAGATTGCCAAGAGGAGTGATGTTCGATTCGTGACAAGGTCTAGGACCGCAGCAGGGATACAATGAATCTTTCAGAAGCCCTGGCCATTTTACGATGTTGCGCAGTTGTGAAGTGGTACGTGCAGAAACAGTGAACAGCCATTCTTTGAGGCATTAATAGTCGTTCTCAAAATATGCTCAAGAAGCGGTGTGATAGAGTGAACTCTCGGAAGTATCGGACGATGCATCAGACCATTGCCGCATAAGTTGGAAGGTACTGGTCACCATTACACTTCAAAAGATACGAGCTGTAAGGTAAGATACGATGTTGAGCGGAAGTTCAATCGTTGATTAGCCTTGAAAAGTAAATTCTGGGGAGCCTGAGACCAGTCACGATGCCAGTTGTTTCGATCATGCGGCCAGAGGTGGTGTTGTTCGGTTAGCTTTGAGAGGCTTGGCTGCATGAAAGAAAAGTCATGGATGTGTGCCGACACACCGTCATCGAACGAGCTGACACGGCAGTTTCCACAGGAGCCGTTCCATGTGGATCCTGTCAGAATTTTTGACTTTCTTAATGCGTGTGATTTCATGTTCCGGGAGAAGAGTAGCATTGTGCGGAGTACCTTGGAGGATCCCTCATCCCTGAGATGTGGGCATTCTGGATCCTACCCGAGAATTACCTGGGATAGCCGAAACAGTGTTATTATTCCCCTAGTCCAAAACCATCAATACTTTCATCGGTTGCTTAATGCCTCTTCCTAAGGCCAAGTTGTGGTGTTGTCACCCAATACTGCCTACCTAATATCAAAGATATCTGGTCCTACTCGATGGGAGCTTTAGAAACGGATATCCGAGAAATTCTAGGATACTTCTCGCAATAACCGCTGACGTGATCATTTGGATCTACCTACTTGTCTATCTAAGCTGGGTGTAGAATAAGCGCCCATTTACTTCTGGAGAGAACCCGACTGTCAGAATATGTTTACCAGTCATCCGACTTTTGGTGTCAACCCGATATTTAGACTCTACAATGACCCATATGTTTCTTCTCTGCCACAAAGCTTGCAAAACTTGGAGGGGGTTCTGATTTCCATGTTTTTCACTAGAGTAGATGTGTTTAGCACAATTCATGCTAAAAAAATAATTCTATTCCGTGAACCATTCCCGAGGAAAGTTCATATCTACATACTACGGTCATTGCATAAGACTCTTTTCTCAAAAGTCTGACAAAGCAAGTCACCAATCAAATCTAACCGATCGATATGGTATTCTTATCAACCCAGAGGTCAAAAGTTCGATCTCTCACAGTTAGAACCCCACGTTACATTGTTCTATACTTGCAAGGTTGATTTTAGTAATATTATTATTATAACTATTAAATATATAATTATTCTATGCTTTAGTAAAATAATTAGTTTTCCCGTGCTCAGTGAACTACTCGTCGATAGTTAAAAGGACCAAAAGTATCTATTTCCGCATCCTACCTTAGAGACTATAATACTACTTACCTAACTTAATACCATACAGAAGTCAAAGAGCTATCTCTGTTGACAGTAGTTTAGACAGCCGTTTTCTATTCCATGTAGTCTGAGAATAGAGTTAAAGGTGAGAAGCGATCTCCTTATGTTTATCTTCAGTCGCACACTCTAGCGGTGATCGGCCATAAATGTCGACCTGGCTCTTGTCAATCTGCCCTGTGTTCAACAAGAGCGTAACGGCCAAAGCATGCCCATTCCCCCCAGCATATGAGACTGGTGAGCGACAATATTCGTCTGATAAATTCACATCAACGTTTCCGGCTTTGAGCAATACTTTAGTAACAGCAACATGGCCATTGGCTGCAGAATATGACAACGCGGTCCGGCCATAATACTCGTCACTCCAATTGATGTCAACTCCACCGGTCTTGAGAAGTAGTTCAACGGTTTCCGCATAACCATTTCTGGTTGAGTGCAAGAGGAGGGTTCGCCCATACTTATCCTTCGGATTTATGTTCACTCGCCCTGTGTCGAGCAATATGCTAACAAGATTATGATGCCCCATCGCGGAGGCACAATGAAGCGGTGTCAATCCCTGCTCGTTTCTTAACTCGACATCAATCGACGGCGCCTCAAGTAGAGCCTCCAAAGTGGCCTCGTAGCCCTGGATAGCAGCAAAGGCTAGTGGCGATTGACCTTTCTTAGTCTGAGCGTTGACATTAGGTCTGCCACTTTCAACTAGTAGCCTGACGATAGCTGTGTCTGCTGCCTGGGTAGCAGCCCACAAGGGTGTCCCGCCGTGATGAATATCTCGCTGATTGATGTCTCACCAACATGGGAAGAATCTCAAAAGACTCCACTAATCTGTGGCCCCTATCGAGGTATTTTCGCAGTATTGTATCCGATAAAAGGTGTCGATTGCAAGTAAACACCTGATGCGGGATTGTCAGCATCTTCCTTGAAGAAGAAGAAACATATTGTACTTCCACTTTGAGGCAACACGTTATCGACTAGATGCCTCGATAAAACTGATTTTCCACACCCCGGTTACGCTGTGACATATAAAAGTTTGGAGTTCAACCTATCTGAGCTCCATTGTTTGAAGAGTTCATAGCGAATGAACCATTCGCATGTGCCTTCTACATGCCGTCAGTTTCTGTTCTTGTTTTCTTCATAGAGGCACGTATTTGATAAAGTAATGGTATAAACTCATCTGTTATGCATCAGTAGAGTATTCTCAGCAAAACACTTGTAGGTGTGACAGTTCTAGGTAGTGTAGCCACCTAAGAATGTACTAATACAACATCAAGCCTTCAACCGATGCTCCAATTCCTCCACGAGCTTCCTCTCCTCATCCTTGTAGACACCGAAGGGACCATCACCCATCTGCTCAACAATGTCTTTGATGTCTCGGATCATATCCGTCGCCTCACTCTGCCGAGTGCTTCCCTGTTTCCACAATGCCTCGGCGATGATCCTCCGAGCCGAAAGGGCCTGTGGAGAGCTCTTGCCAAGTCGGCTGTCAAGCCATGCACACACCTCCCTCTCAATCTCCTCGGCCTCGGAATTCTTGTTCTTGTCGAGCAGCAGGCCGGCCAGCGTATGCTGATGCGACAGGTTGCTCTTGTTCTTCCTCTTGTCGCACATCATGCGCAAGGTCGACTCGGCCTTGGGGTCTCCCAACTCGTGCTGCATGGTGTAGATACCAAGCCAAAGGCTGTCCCACCCCTCATAGTCCACGTCGTAGTACGTCTGTGGTGCTGCAGCCGAGTCCCTCTTGTCGAGCTCTTGGGCAAGTCGGTTCGCGAGCAGCTCAAGCTTGCTCTCCTTGGGTAGTGTGCTATCGGGGTCCAAGCCCAGCTGCTCGACCTGGTCGGGGGTGAAGTTCTGCAGAAAGTTGCGACCGACGGTGAAGGGCAGATCGTTCCAGAACTTGTTGTCGGGCACTGGGTGCTCCCACGAGAAATCGCGGGCCGCTCCCATATCCTTCTTGCCTTGAGAGTAGCGGACACCTGAGGATTCAGCTTCAGCCATTTTTGGTATTCGGTGAGAGTGGTACAAATTGATGGGATGAATAGGTAAACAGAATCAAGACCGTCGTTTGTTTATGGTGTTATACCTACCTTAGGCAACAATCGCTACAGGCAGCAATGGCGGATGCCTAAAGTACGTGCACATTAAAGGCATCGACCTGCCGACTCCCCGCACAGCAGCGGAACTATACGTACCTTCTAACAACGAAGTACGGCGGTATATAGGGATCAAGAGACCGTACAGTCAGCAAGACCCAGTCGTCAAGAGCACTTTTCAAGGATAGGAAGTAGACAGGGCATAATTATGAAGGATTTAACAACTTCTTTTTTCCTTTGTTTCATCCGGATTCATTAGCTTACCAATACTAGTTACATCTCGTATCAATAATTTGCGCGATAACATTGTCCAGGTCTTAAGCCGCGGTTAAAAGTGATTCCCGCATGCTTAAAACAACCAACTCAATCTCCATCTTCCCAGGGCAATGAGAGACCCATCGAGTATTCAAGTCACGGACAGAAACACCACGTTGGTGTTGTTGCGCTGAAGACAGAGGGTGGGGCAATGCTCAATGTCATCGGGTTCAGTGATAGACTAACATTAAGTCGAAACATAAAATAAAGGCTCTATGCATAAACCATATTAACCTTTAGGTTAGCTTCGTTATCAAGATCTGAAGGAGTAAGCATACTGACCTTTTGCCCTGCCAACTTCCGATCTACGCGGACATAGTCTATTGGGAATCCGCAATTCAAGGTCCTTTTAGGGCCTACAGCAGATCTCTCAGCTGGCCCGGTGGACCACAGCGGAGACAGTGGGCTCATGATCTTGGATTTCTCTGCATGCGTGACCGTATCCGATGTGTGGGGTGTTCAAGGCAAGTAAGACAGTGGGAAATTGCAGGTCAACAGGTGCCAAAGCGGTCATGATTCAGTTGCTAGCGCGTAAAGTTACAGCTCGTTTGGAAGCCTAGAACTTGACCGACTCTCTCATGCAGTTTGACTGAAATTGGTTGCGATCAGCAGACCGTACGCTCCTCGATTCAGGCTCAACTGAGCTACTGCAAGCGCAATCATTTTAGGCCGTAATATATTGACCTTGTACCGCATGTGAATGCAGCCGAGTTCAGGCACAATCGAATCATGGGAGTCAGCCAATATTGGATTCGGGCCCCAAAACGGCTAATCATTCTGAGACAAGCAGACATATCACATCAGCTGAGGCCCAACGGCAGGGAGGGGCTGAAAAGAGAGTGCAGCTTTGCAGCTCGTTTTGGTCACGACTGCAGGAAAATCATGGCAAGCCCGTAAGCTCGATGCATCCAAGACAACTGCAGGAACGTGAGCTAACGGCTCGGGTCTCGGGACTTTTTTCCAGCTCCCTCATGGCTCGGGCCTCTCCTGAGCTCGTATCTGCAGGGATCGTCCGTTCTCAGGTCCTAAGTACCGAGCCAAGGAACGGCCTGAGTGGTTCCACGAGGTGCCGCGGGGGGCCGAACTAACACAAGTGGCTGCTTAGTGCAGTCGAAATGGGAAGAGATTGATGGGGATCGAGCACACGGCTCGATACATGATCCTAGTTCGAGTGCATTGCATCTGAGGCGGGGATTCCATTGCAGAGAGTGCCGCATATACGAGAAAAGGACAGCATCCCATTGGCTCTGTGCCTGGGCCGTCACCGTCAGCCGCAGTGGGTGTGGGTCGTAGTGCGGAATAATGGTCTTGCTTCGTAGGTAATATATTGAGAGAAAAAAGCCCGGATGAAACATCGAGGCGTCCATGGGACTGCAGCTACCGGTGTGAGCTGAATTGGCATTTTTTGGTTGGTTAGGGTATAAGATAGCCTTTAGGACTCACTTGTCAAACCTCCCAGCTGCTCATCTCACCCATCTCAGATCAATCCAACACCAAACGATCACCATGAGGTCCATGCTACTTGCCGTACTCGCGACACCCATTCTGGGCAGCCCTGTCGTGGAAACCCTGAATGCTCGGGTCAAAGAGCAGCCCAGACAAGTCAATGGAACTGTCGAGTACAGTACCATGTGCAAGTCCTGCCCTTATGACCTTTGTCCTAACGTCAACATTCCCTGGGGTGGCGACATCGTTACCCTGACCTGCTGGGCTGAGTGAGTTTCGATATCAGAGAAGCGTATAGGCTTTGGCAAAGACTAATTTAGGACGCAGGGGTGACAATGTCGGAGACACTAAACTCTGGTGTATGTGATTTCCCTTCGCTAGTTTTAGTGCCATGCTAATGCGATGTATAGTAAAGACAACCGAGAACTGCTACATTTCGGAGTATGACCTTGTCGAGTACCAGGGAGACTGTGAGTTACGCCTTTGCCCTCGCCCAAGCAGGCCAGTTGACACTAACCGCACCACCTGATGTAGTCAGGACTGATCTCAAGACCTGCGGACAGGTCCCGCTGAAGATCACCAAACAGCCTGCCAAGGTCAGGTATCTCTCTGAATGCAAATGGGGTTACTCTACCTCGGACGAGTCCATCAAATTCTATGGGCGAGATCTTGATGTCACACTCACCTGTTGGACTGAGGGTGGAGAAGTTTTGAACAATCCGTAAGTCTGGGCAACCCCAGTGTCCTAAACTCAATGACTGACATTCGATTGATAGCTACTGGTATAAGGTAATGATATCTGGACCGTTCTGATGATTGATCTGGAGCTAATACATGCAATACAGACCACGGATAACTGCCATGTTTCTGGTTCCGGCCTCTGGGCTACACCTAGTATGTCTTTGGGTTCCATACGCCTCATTGAGCAATCATAGCTAACGTGCAACAGACCGCGAAAAGCTGGACAACTGCGGACCTGAGCCTGGCCCACGCATTAATGAGACCAAGCGGTCAATTGACGAGGACGGAGCTCGCCCTGTTGAGCTCCCTTCTCGCGAAGATGACGAAGATGACGAGGAGGAAGTAGAGATCGTGGAAGACGAGGAGCCAAGCTTACTCCCCCGTTGGCTTCAGCCGGAGCAAATCGGTGAGGAGTACGCACCCTGCTACAAGTGCCCGACTGCCACCACAAGCTCTGCTTGCCCTCGCGTGAAGAGATACGAGTACAACAACACTGTTGTGAGCCAGTGCCTGACCAGCGAGGACGTCACATACCCCAACGGATCATTCTCCTCAACATTCTGGATGGTGAGTCCCCCCCTCTTCATAGAACTACTTGGCGTATACTAATGATTTGCTTCAGTTGACCACCGACTGGTGCTACGTGAACGGAAATGACTTCTGGGTCCCACCTTGGGATAACTACCGCTACCCCAGGTGTTCAAACTGGGCTGGGTATCCTTGAATGCCTTATGTATCGATGATCACGAGCTAGGTTTAGCACGTATCGCGATGTCTTATTGGATAGCACAGAGTCCGATACTTCATATTGAATTTTAAACTGTACTCAGTCGCTGTTTACCTTGTCTCACGTGAACATGGCGTAGAAACTAATGTTGGCGAGTCTGAGGTTGTGTTGTGTTCAGTCTCGAGTTCCCAACCACAAAGAGACTCCTGTTTAGTTGTCCCTTTTGGTCCAGGAGCTCAGCGCCTGTAAAACACCCTCATACAACTTCTGTTCACCAGAGCTCTCCAAAAGGCCATCCCAAACGTCATCGCCCATGCCCTTGAAAAAAAGCAACCAACCACCGAGAATAAAGTCAGCGTAGCTCACTTCCTCGCCTAAGATGAATGGCCCCTGGTTTTTCTTAACAATATCATTCAGCTCTCTAAAAATGGGAGCAAGCTTCTTGAATACCAGGTTTAGGGGATTTTCTTTTTCGAATCGTTCAAGAGACGTGCCGACGCGCTCGAATCTCGTCCTTTCGAAGTATTCTCTGCTGATCTCACTCAAATACACCTTAGGGACTCTAGTTTTATAAACTGGCTCTAGAACCACGTCCAGCTTATGAAGTGCATCAAGGAGCGGCTGCTGGAGAGGGTTGCCAAGATGAAGACTTGGTGTTGTATGGCTTCTCTCAATGGCTTCGGCAATGACGTAAGAGTCCATGAGATAAGTTCCATTCGGTAGCTTAAGAGCTGGACTGCTGAATTTGTGTCCACTGGCATTTGGGGCAACACTGTAGAATTTCAGTAATGAATGATATACATATCTCCCGGGGCCGTCTCACAATGGCTCAAGTCGTGCCTGGAGATGTGGGTATTCGACCTATTCTCGAGAGGTCAATGGTCTGCTCGCTCATCTGGCATAGAAACCTCAACCATCTTACCCATTCTGTCTCGTAATCAATCGATTTATAGTGTAAAAGCATCCGAGCTTGGGACTATAATTAGCATATGTGTCTCTCTTGAGATTCGGGTGATTCCTCGTGCGTACTTTTCCATGGATTCAAAGACCAGCACTTTCGCGGTTCCTTGGTCGGAATATCGATTAGGGTGAATCTACCTGAAGCCATCGTAAGAGCTTGGGCATCGAGAGATGACAGATTCTGGCCAGCTTTTACGTCTCTCAAAGCGATATATCCAGCCGGGTGTAGATGTCAATGCGTAGTGACTCATGGTTGATTTCTAAGCAGCCCCTCACTTTGACCCACGGATCCAGCTACTCGCGATCCATGACATCAAATGCCAATGGTAGTGGTAACCAATCAATTGAGATTCTAGGAGAACACTCGCTCAATATAGCTGGGGAGGAACCAAGAGTACACACTTCTGTTGATGCTGCACAAACTAGCTTTACGAAAATTTCAAATGAGGTTACGATTGTTTATGTGATCTTAGCTGCTATAAATACAATAATGTCCATACTATCAAGAGACATCTCAAGCGCCATGCATCCAACCCGCAGTATTATTCCGAACCACCAGCGACGAACCAAGATTTGGTTGAAAAACAATACTTTTGTGTTTTCCTCCCTCTTCTTGGTTCGTTAGGGACTTTATCGGGGGGCTCTAATGAATGCTTACTATTTGAGAGGGTGGCGGATTCCTACCATTACTCAAATTTCACAATGAGCTGACAAGAAATGTTATGTTGACTTCGATTTCGGATATGGGAACGTCCAACTTGGATGAAGCATACTCCATATCTTATTTCTTGGCTGCTTCGGCCATGGCTTTATCAAATGGGACTACGCTCTCTATAAGCGCATCCTGATACTTCGTTAGTAGCGCGACCAAAGAGCTGATGTGTTCTTACTTACCATGACTGATTGGGGGAAGCAATAATAGCCGAATTTGCCCATTCCGGCAGAGGTACCAACCCATATCGTTCCGGATGTTCCCTTCTCAACCTCTCGGATTACTCGTGCTGCATACTGTCGAGGTGAGACTGCGCCTGGCTGGCGTAACAGATTTGGAACGCCTGCTACGAAGTCTTTGATCCCATAATAATGAGAAGTCTTGGGGATTTCGACTTCGGACACTGTCGGGGTACTTGTGGAGCCCACAGAGGACGTGGCCAGTGTGATGGTCCGGACTCCGAGGGGCTTGAGCTCACGACGCCAAGTATCACTTGCCGAGATCAAAGCGCCCTTCGAACCATTATACACACCTTCAATATATTAGACGAGTCGATGGATGATGTTGATTTGAGACTTACTCATTAATGCCATGGGGAGATAGGCGCTGCAGGATGCTTGGTTGACAAGGCAACCTTTGGCCTCAATCAGCAGTGGGGAGAAAGCCTGGAGCATAGCAAGCGGAGCCCAGAAATTAAGATCGAATACTCTCTTCCCTTCTTCGATTGAGACGTCCAACGCAGGTGCGATTGCTGCTTGGCCACTGTTGTTGATGAGGACGTCCAGTGTACCGCCAGTCTTCTGCTTGACGCTTTCAACGGCGGCGGCAATGGACTGTGAGTTCAAGACATCGAGTTCCAGAATAGTGACGTTGGATGCGTTTGCTAGGCCCTGGGAAATCTTTGACGTGGTGCGGGCTGTCGCAAAGACGTGGTATCCTTTCTCGCAGAAGCCTTCAGCTAGGCCAGCACCGATGCCACCAGCAGAACAGCCGGTAATCAGGACAGACTTTCGACGAGGAGCCATGGTGATAGAGTTGATTGTATGTGAAATTTGAAAAGATGCTCTGATGCAGTGTGATTAATAGCTTGAATAAAAACCTAGAAAAGACATCCTTTTATATTTACTGATCCTGTGATAGAGAGCAACTCTCCTGTTGTGCATTGTACATGATGCTTCGTCCCGCCGGCCGATGCCCCCTTGCAAACTCCGCCGCTATACCACAAACAGCAACCAAAAGATGGTCTTGGCATTCGGGGTTGATCCACATGGCTTCAATTTTAGGAGCCGGACGGATGACATGATGCTCAATCTCTCTCTGGCCCCACGCCGGCTGACCCATTCATAAAGACCGTTCCTCCTCCTTTTACCAAGTCTGGCAAACAAACCAAAAGCCAAGACCAAGCATGGAGCGACTCAACGCCGGGCGGAAGAGCCGCGACCCGTCGAAAGTGGCCGAGATGCCATTCATTGTATCCCGGGATCTTGAAAAGGCCGACGCTACCACCAGAAAGCTCATCCGCAGCCATGTGATGCAGGGCAAGAAGAAGAGGGTCCGTCCTCGCAAGAGCATCCAAGTGCAGGCGGTTGTGATACAGCCCATCCCGAAGGCGGAATCCGAAGCAACGCTGGCGGAGGAGATGAGGCATCGGTACACGATATCCCTGCCCAGACGCGTCGGCTCAGACCTCTCCTTCATTGACTTTGCTGATGACATAGAGCTATCAATGCTTGTCAACATGATTAAGAGCACGTACACAATGCCCTCGATGTCTAAATTTCGGAATCTAACTGTTCTTGTCTAGTCGCTGATGTCGCATTGGGCATCATCTTCCCACTATTGAACGTAGTCGGAATCCGCGTGGATCAGGAAAAGCGTCTGTATCCGATCCAAGGTGACGCCGCTGCCCTTCACATCTCCGTCTACGCCGTTGAGGATTTTATGAACAAAGTGCTGCGGTATAATCGCGGTTCTAGCTATAATGCGATGATTCATTACCATAAAGGACTGCGGATCCTTCGGGAGCGGCTCCTCGGCGATGATCAAGAGGCAAAAATAGCTGACTCTACACTCGGAACGATATTGAAGCTTGCGAGTGCCGCGCATTTCTGTGGGGACACACAAGCAGCTGTCCAGCATATGAGGGGTGTCCACCGGATCGTAGAGATCAGAGGCGGCTTGAATGTCTTTGACGGGACGGAACTTCAGTTCGAGACTTGCAGGTAAATTTTATGAGCCTAGATGTGCGAAGGGTGCAAACTAACTTGCCATAGGTATGACCTGAGCATTGCTCTACTGAGTGGATTGAAGCCCTTCTTTTTCACTTCGGAGGAATCATTCATTCCGTATCCCGAAGAACTTCTGATACTGGATGACGAACACAAAGACTCGCCGGAGCACACGAGCTTTCTGTGCCATGTACAGAATGATCTAGCACTGGCCTGGCGCGTGTTGAGGAGATTTTGCTCACTGGCTAATCTTGGAGTGCACACCCGCCGTCGGATGCGTCCCGGGTTGATCCTTGACACAATGAATTCGGTCATGTACCGCCTCCTTCACATGGAGTTTGCTGTCGATTCAACTGAAGAGTGTATACGGCTCGGTTTACTGGCATTCTCCCATCATGTCTTTCTCCAGTGGCATGAGATTCGGCCAACCAGTTCTTACTTTTCTCACACTTACCGAAGCCAAATTCTACAATCAGACTCATTTAAAAGATTGTCACCTCATCTCATTGTTTGGTTTCTGATGTTTGCAGCAATCTCACTCTTCAAATCGTCGGCAGAGATGTGGCTCGAAGATGCCCTACGGGAATATATTGACAAGAGTGGTCTGAGAAAATGGAAGGATGTGCAAGAAATGATGAACTCAACCATGTGGGTTGCAGCATTGGATGAGCAACCAGCGAGACGCATTTTCAACTCAATCCGGTCAACGAAGCCTAAATGGCCAGTTCAGTCGCACTCAGGCGATCTTCAGGCACGGGCCAGCCCAGACAATCATGGTCTCTAGTGTCGATTTCATACGATAAGTAAGTTGATTAGAAGGTTAGAAATGCACGAAAGATCGTGAATTCCATACATACTAGGATCATAATCTAATATCATCAAAGCAGGAAACGGTCACTTCCGGCTGAAAGAGCACCTACATGCGGACATTATAGATGAACTTTGTTCTGTATCGACGTACTATCTGCCCATATGTTTTTCAGAATAGCTGAACTTATCATGACTATCAACCAACACTTTCTGCCACGCCATAAGTTCCATGATCGCCGATGCGATCCCCATAACAGGCAGTTGGTCGTCCTTTGACGGGGAAGCTCCACAGGCCGGCTAATTTCTTCCTTCAAAGCCATGATCACATGTGACGAAATTTCAAAAAATCCGTACTATCATCAAGTATTGAATCAATTCCCCAAAGGCAACCGTTTCAGAGACTACCGTAGAAAAGGGAGGCGCGGGTTTATTTCGCCATGATGCGCTGCCCAAACGACTATTTCAAGGGCCATAGTCGCCAAGGCTCCATAAGCTGATGCTTATTGAAATGTGATGACTGACAGATATTGAATATATTTTGCCCCAGCGGCTGTAAATTCCCAGTCAGATTATCAAGTACTCATGCAGCTTCTCGCCTAATCTCGCTTCCGCAATGGCAACTCCTCACTTCAGTTTTCTTCTTACAGTAAACAGTAAACGCAGCTCAGTCCGCTAGTTTAGCTCACTCTTAGCCAGCCGAGGCGTATTACACCGTATCCCCGCACTATTGTTTTTATTAGAGTTCCATGTGGGCGACCGCAAATAAACGGAGACGGCCAAGATACTAAATTCAGCCGCGACTCAACATAGATATCCTTCTTTTCTCCTCTGTTCCTACTTTGCTGCATTCATCTAATCTACACGTACAGTCATTATACAGACAATCCATACCCACCATGCGAACTTCGGTTGTCCCCATTGCCATCGTCGGAGCAGCCGCGGCGGCAAATGCCTCAACAGCCGTCGGATGCTCCGGAGGCCTACAAATTCTTCTTGCCCGCGGCACGGGAGAGAAACTCAACAGCAGCATAGCCAACAAAGTCGCTGAGGGCATCATAGACCGCATCCCGAATTCCAACTTCACCTCCTTGGACTACCCGGCTACCTTCACGGACCCCCCTTACACATCGTCCGTCGCTGATGGGGTCAATATTCTGAAGAATGCCCTGGATAGCTACCATTCCACCTGCCCAGATGGCAAGATTGCGGTTATTGGATATTCACAGGCAAGAAACCGATAGCTGAGCTGCATGACAGGGACTATGGGGGCAGTGCTGACCCCATTCGATATTTTAGGGTGCTCAAGTGGCCACTTACGCGTTTTGCGGGGGAAATGGGACAGATAGTGCCAGCTCCGAGGCGACCAAAAATGGTTCGCTCCCCGAGATTTCTGCACCAAAGTTGCTCCGGCTTTGAATCAAACGGCTAACTAGCTATGGCTATCACCAGTGATTGCGATCCTCGAATTCGGCGACCCAACCCACGTCGCCAATGCGACCTACAATAGGGGAAACAGCACAAAGGACGGCGTAGGTAGCCCGGATTTGACTCTACAGGCATGCGCTAACGTTCATCTGCATAGATATTTGCCCTGGACAGAGACGCGGTGAAGAGATGCGAAAGCCTCGGCGACAGTCTGAGATCCTACTGCGATGCAGGCGATACCTATTGTGACCTTGGGAATGTGACGGGTGTCCACACCAGCTACTTCAAGAGATACACCGATGAAACGGTCGACTTTGTCGTCAGCCGCTACCAGAACGCAGGCGACCAAAGTTCCACCACGATATCACCAACAGGCTCAGCTACGACTGGGGTGGGTGGCTCAGCCTCGGCAACAGGCGATTCTGGCGGTAGTGCGCCTGGGCTGGGGCCGGGGAATGGCTTGCTTTACACAGCCCCTTTAGCTGTATGGGCCTTCTTTCAGCTGCTCTAAATGAGTATAGCGCCGGTTATCGTGAAGCAGACATCGCATTGTTGATATTCTGATTTTATCTCTTTACCATGCCATATATAGTAGTCAAGCCGTTGACCTCGGATCAAGGAACGAGAGACATTCATTCTCACAGAAACCCTTGGGTGCTCATCCAGTCAGGAAAATTCAAAACCAGTCTTGGAACTTCGCAGTGTATATGGCATACACTAGATTCTTTGATTCTAGAGTGGGAAAAGGGTATTGAATATTCGAAGAATCGCTGCACTTGTTCCTATTAGCATGTGAAATAAGAGGATGATAACAAGGGGTTCTAACTATAACACAGAGGCGAATGGAATGGGGTAGATAATGAAATACTCAGTCCAGGGGCCACACCATAGTATGCCACAAAGCTTCCCAAGTTAGCCAGTGTTTTCCTGACAGCCAAGAGTATCAAGCCCCCGCCAGTTCAACATTGTTTCATTCGAAAACCTGTTGTTTTAAATCTTCTATGAGATACTCATGAAAATTCTAAGGGCTACTAAAACAATATAAAGTTTCGTTACGCAGCACTATAAAAGAGTCTTACGTTCTCATTGAAATAATACGGGCAGGAGGTTTGAGTATGAAGTAGGAATAGCAATGGGAGATTCCAGGCCCGTCATCTCAATACAATGAATACGAAAGGCAAAGATAAGCTCAGCCAGCCTAAGGCTACAACGACGTATGAGGACTCTGTAAACCTTCATTGAATGATATTGTATTCCCTCTTATGTGGGCTCTCTATAACTTGGTGTAAGTGGAAAGAAAATTTACTCTTTCTCTTCCTTCATTTACATAGCCGTGCTGAAGTAATTAGCTACACTGTAGGAGCAAGGCCCATATCTTCATCGAAAATTCTACTCACTAAATTCAATGAATCGGACTATTATATCAGGAGATTAAGGAATCCCCCAGGTTTTCAAGGGGCAAATACCGTGCCAATTGTAGTACTAGCAATCCGGGCCATTCAACTACTTCCGCTTGCTTCGCTTGATCGTCCTTCCCGACTCCTTTTTTTAACCATGAGCTAATCCGACAAAACTCACAGCTACGTTATTATAAACATGATAACAGAAGAACATAAAGAGTATCGCTATTACTGTTACTTTACTTAGTCGCTTCTGTCATTGCCGCCTGCGTCCTTGCCCTGCCTCCGATCACCACTCACCTACTACGTAGCATCAAATGATAGGTTGAATTACGAATTTTCCTTAAGTGGGCATGAATTTATCCGCTCAGAATTCATGTAACTATAGACTCAATACTCGCAACGTTTCAGCGCTGCTAAACATAGTTCTGAGCCCAGGTATCTGAAACGTAGCACGCGGGGTATCTTCACCAATCTACATGTGATACGCCTCCACGTGAAGGAAGAGGCAGCCCAAGTTCCCCCAAATAGGAATTGAATGGCGCCCATACGTACACCAACTCTACAGTTAGACAGCATTGCATATGAGAAATATGTACCGCAATTACATGGAGTTCTGTAGATCAAACTGTCACGTGCGTTGAGTTGGAATAATAAAACCCCATCACTCCTCAGTTCTGGACCATTGTCTTCCTTTTCTACAACTTATCGATTGAAGGTATTGACCTTACAAGAAAACAGTATGTGTAGTCCTGTAACTCAATACACCCGACTATGACTCATGAGCATCTTTGAATCCATATCTCACTACGGATGTTGACTCAAATCTTATCAACCAGGATAATTAACATACGGCAGTAACTATTGAAGAGATAAGCCAATGATGAAGACAAAACCCATCATGAGACAATCATCGCAAAAGTTCGTTACAAGGATCCATCTCTTCAGGGTAGTTGTGTGAGTATTCTGCACAGTACTTGCTGCTCTGAAACACACATTGACTTGTTTACATCAATCACAGCTCGCATTCACAACGAAAAGAGTCACAAAGCGGTAATAATGGGAAAGCTAAATTCTGAGCAATACTCTATATATGGCCAAGACCTTTGGGAGCTCTTCAAAACAGGACCAAGGCTCGAAAGGATCTACTTCCCACTTTCCATAGTTTCTTCAATTTCGTTAAGTAGTGAACCCGAGAACAAGGTTGTCAAAGGATCACATGCAGTTTCATTGCAACATTCAATGATTCGTCAAAATAATATCCCGAAATGGGGGATATTTACACAATGTGGGCGAGAACGTTGGAGGTTCCGCTGGGGACGCTGGTGATTCTGCCGGTGAGGGCGTTGCTGACGATGTAGGAGCACAAGTTGGCGGGGGTGGCGCGGCCGAGACCGAGGTAGTAGGCACCGAGACCGGCGACGTGGGGGGATGCCATGGAGGTACCGGAGAGAGTGGCGGTGCCGCCGTTGTTGTAGGTCGAGAGGACGGAGGAGCCGGGGGCGAGGATGTCGACGATGCTGCCGTAGTTGGAGTAGCTGGCGAAGCCGTCGCTGGAGGTGGTGGCACCGACAGTGCAGGCGCTGGCGGCGGATGCGGGGGAGTAGTTGGCGGCGTTGGCGGCAGAGTTACCGGCGGCGACGGCGAGGAAGTAGCCGGCTGAGACGATGTTGTTGGCGGCGGTGTTGAGGGAGGCGGAGTAGCCACCACCGAGGGACATGTTGACGACGACACCCTTGGGGCAGCTGTAGGTACCAGCGCTGTTGGTGACGTAGTTCATGCCCGCAATGACACCGGAGCTAAAGAGCCATCGTTGTCAGCGATTGGATTCAAGAAGGGTTGGTGGGAATGGGGGGACATACGTGGTACCAGAGCCACCAGAGTCGAGGACCTTGACGGCGTAGAGCTTGGTCTTCTTGGCAACACCATAGGTGGTTCCACCGACGGTTCCGGCAACGTGGGTGCCGTGGCCGTTGCCATCGGTGTTGCTGCTGTCAACGTAGTTGGCGGCCCAGGCGGCACGGCCACCGAAGTCCTGAGGGAGGCAGGTTAGCATGTTGGGATCAGTGGCTTGAGTGGTATGATGGGGGATCTTACGGTGTGGGAGGTGTAGATGCCGGTGTCAATGATGAAGGCGCAGGTGCCGTCACCAGCCGAGTCATCGTAGGTGTAGGTGCTGGAACCAGAGTTGGTGTTGGAGAGACGGGCAATGCCCCATGGAGCTCCGGTCTGGGTGGCGGAGATGGAGACGACGGCATCCTGCTCGACGTACTCGACCTCGGGGCTCTCACGGAGGGCCTGGACTTCAGCCTCAGTCAGGGCACCAGCCTGTGTGATTCATTGTCAGTTGTCTGCATATTCCCAGCTTGACTAACCAAGGAAGGGGAAGTTCTTACGAAACCCTGGAAGCCACCCTCGTACTCAAAGTCGGGCTTGGCCTCAATGGATGAGATGGTGGAGGAGATGGAAACAACACCCTCCTTGAGCTTGACAATGTACTTTCCGGGGATGGTCTCGACGTCACGGGGGACGTGGAGAGGGGCGAGTTCCTCGCGCTTAGTTGGTGCCGCGGCAACCAGAGGCAGGATGGAGAGGAGAGCAGAAACGCGCATGTTGACGGTTTGTTGCTCGGTCAAGTACACAAAAGATGATTGATTCAGATGGCCCACAAGAGTGACTTTGAGAAGGTCTCGATTGCTGGTGAGGAGAAGGAAAGAAAACGACGAGATGGAGAGGAGGACGGGTAGTCTTTATAGTCGAGGATCGTGAGGTCTTTGTTGTCCCGTCTATCATGTAATCCTCGCGAACGCCCTCACCTTCCCTTTTCCCTTGTCAACTCGCGTGCAGTCATGTTCGTATCTTGGTTGCAATCAGCCAAATACGGCAGGCTGCTGGACGCAGGGCTGCTGCATACTGACAGGTCCTACGTTGACAAAGGGTCCTCCTCCCTAAAGAAGCTTGGACCAATGGATTGATATTGGTCAAGATATTGATTAGACTGTCATATACGACGAGCCCACAGATACGGGCTGTATAATCCGGTTTTCTGGCTGGTAAGCCGGTTGTTTTGCCACTGAGCTCTAGGAGAATGGCACTGTGAGTGCCGATCAGCGATGTCTGATAAGAGATCTATCTCGTGTAGGTTCGTTAGTATCCCGCATTGTTACTACCAAACACCACTTCGAATCGACTCGTGTGTCACACTACCAGAGACAAAAGCTTAAAGCATGGCTACTCGGCAAATTCACCCGTGACTCTCCCCATGTTCAGCATAGTTTCGTGTTTGGCTTTGGGGGCCAGGTCCAGGCCAGGCCCCTCCCCTGCGGGATTCTCCCAAGAATGGAACGTCATGATAACACCCTAACGGCGCACATGATAAGATGCTCCTGGGTTGGGTTAAGACTTGAGATATGAATCGATTAGCCAACAAAAATGCTCGACTGAAAACCAGAACAGAAACCTCTTGGACCATTTGTCAAGACGCGGGGTCCAAATAGGAAGTTGGAAGCAGCTGGAAAGCGAGAAAGGGGACAATAGTGCCATATGTCACCTTCCCATCTTCCGGCAGGGGGTCTGCCAATGATTTCCCCCGATCTAATGGGGAACCCCGGGACGGGAAATTGATCACCATAGGCAGCTAGTTGGCTGTCAAGAAGGATCTCGGCACATTGGGGCACTCACTCTTAATGGCCCAGCTGGAAAAGGGTGGCTATACGCCGTGGGAAGTCTATGGTTATCATTGGCCGGAGACGCATGTAACCCTATAATCGAAAGCGCTCTTAGCCGGCACCTGAGGTTGCATCCTGGCTAGACCAGCTTTCCCTGTGGAGTGATTTTTCCAGTTCCGAGAGAGTAAGCTTCTCGTGACTGCCCCAGACTCGAGTCCCGGAGTTGATTAGTGAGAGTCACACTGCCGTGCGACGTGTGCCACCTCTCCCCCTCTATCCCCCTCTGTGTGGGCGCTAATCATGGAGAGGGTGTGCCAATGCTTCGGTCGCAAGGGCGACACCCGTACGGGTGATTTTCATGCAGTCAGAGTACTTTTCACCGGGCTGTCGAGTAGAACTGTCACGGCATGTTCCGTTTATCCCGCTCTATCAATGCATTGGATGCAGTGCCACCCAGTATCAACGGGCTGGGGGGAGGCTGAAGCTGGAGACAAGACTCAGCTAGGCAGATCTCTGCAGGTAATACGCCCAACGGCCCAATCCGTACACGAATGAATGCCTTGCTCCCCGCCTTCATCGCGAAGCGAGTGACATCACATCACGGACCCCTCGCCAGCTGCCCGATTGAACAGGGGTCCATGGTGTTTGGGTGCCAAAGTTCCTCAACGGTGAGCACCAAAATGGACGTGACGAGTTAAAGCCCTCTCCCAACCAGGTAGCAAGCAAGGAACGCAGCTTCTATTCGACCGCCGCTGCAACACTGGGCCGGCAGCAAAGTTGTGGCTTGCGGGATGACAGCTTCTCCGCAAGGGGAAACGGCACAGAGTTGAGGGTATACGCCCAGTACCTTGATGAGCATGACCCTCTCTGGCCCAGGCCGGTCTGGCAGGTTCCACCGATCGACACGACGCTGGACTTTTGAGCCATAACAGCTTTTTAGCTATCGGCACTATTGCAGCCTTATTACAGAAGGTTCCATTGACGTCCGTGGCCGGCCCACCCATCTCGTGCTCGCCAAAGCTACTGATCTAGGGAACTTCAGTCGTCTGAACGGTTGTTTATGAAGCCCGACCGTCCGAACAACGCGAAATGGGCAGATCAAGAGGTTCTAGGCATATTTTCTTTCCGGCGAACTCATTAAATTGTGGGATACGTAAGTAAACAGGGCAACTCGTCTGTATCAGGGATGCGGGGAGGAGTAAGCCAAGAGATAAACGGCGTAACTTGAAAGCTACCTGGGCCAGCTATTGGTCGTGATGAGGAGAGTCTTACGGCGTGCCCAGCGGTCGGTTTGGTAGCATCAACAACAACCAAAGTCATCCTTCTTCCCAAAAGCCCGAATCCCTGGCAGTTCTTGTTCATGCAGATCCCTGATCGGTCTGCATTAGCCGCGCAACCCTTGGATGAATACTAGATTTTGATTATTATTCTTAGCATATCAGATCAATGGTCACGAGTCCCTTAACAAAGAGCCTATTTTGGCCATTTTCTTTGGATCAAGCGCCTACCGGCACCGGCCATTGCCGACTCCGGCAGTAGAAGGCCCGGGGAGCAATCAGAATCAACATCGCTCAGCCCGGGCCCGGCCCCGAGGAGGGTCATCGTGTATTACTACTATGTGATGAGAATGCATTTTAGAGCCAAAGGAGTGGAGTGGGTGGTTATGCTCAGTAGCAGTCGGATCATGCCGGGGGCATATTACAACGGTGTTCCCTGAAGGTTTTGAGCGAATATAGATGGATCAGCGGATATAGAGTGGATGATGGGAATGCATTGCCATCCGAACTGAATCCCTTGCCAGCTCGCATCGATGTCGTTGAGGAGATGCCTCTTTCAGAGTTCTCTGCCTCGCGCATGGGAGCGGCGTTGCATCGCTTGCATTTCGAGCCCAAAGCCGTCGCACTGCGTCATGCTTATCAAACGCACGGATATGTGTACTCTCGGATATGTACTCTTGTGTTGCTGTTCACGGCGAGCACAGGTGACGTGGTCTCCTCTCAGCTGGTCCAGCGATGCATTCAGATGCACCATTGCGGAGCGCAGTGCAGCCTTACAGGATATCAGAGGCAGCGCTTGCTTGGCGGCTCTGAGTCGAAACGGGACCTTCCTAATATGAGCAGCTCCCCATCTGCCATGAGTCAGGTTGCAAAGGTCCCCGGCGAGGGATCCATTCGTCGTTAGATGCGCTGCTACGACATCATAATCTGCAGTAGACATGCTCGAGTGACCGACTTGCCTTGTTTAAAGCGAGCACTCGCCATCTTATCGCCCTATGGCGCAAGAAGCTTGCTCAGGGAAAACAAGCCAGGCACAGGCTTGGCAGTATGTGACATGACAGAACCCCAGACAATGAGGGGGTCGTATCGTACCACGACCTAGACCGCGAATCAGGATGTTGAAAGGGGTGGGGGCAAGAGGCACTTTCTGGGCTCAAAAGGCTAGGTCTACTTTGACCGCCGGGGTCCATTCAAGACGGGCAGCACGATGAGGCCGGTGAATAGTGAATATGGGAGGTGACGCGTAATCTCCAGCCCTCATCTTAAATCCTTCTACATATCGCAAGCCCTTGGATCCCGCGGGAGGCGATAGCTAAGACCTTCCCTCGGACTATTTATATACAGAGAGTTCTCGGCCTTTGTGTGTCGCAGGCTCAGGTTTGAGGCAAAAAGGGCAAAAGGGGGCTCAATCGTAGGGTAGGCAGAAGAAAGGTCACATTCGGGATGGGCTCGGCTTGTTTGGTTGCGTGCTGCCCGACTTCCGCCAGCCGAGCCGAAATCCTGTGAGGGGAGAGTCTTAAGAAGAAGGATTAGTCCATGAGATTCCTCTTGTGCATGAGAGGATGTCGTGAGACCAGAGCGGTTGAAGGTCGTTCAAACCTCCAAGTCCATCTCTCGGAGCTTTTCTGGGAGGATGCGCTAATTTATTATGGACTGCCCAAATACCGAGCCTTGGGCAATATAAGCTCACTTGGCTTTCTCATCTTCCTCCCCGATTCTTCTTAGCCTTTTTTAGGCTCGGTACATACCGTCCGTCCTTTTCTTGTCCCTCAGTCTTGCTCCACATTCACCCAATTCCATGCTGAGTGATCGTTTGGTTCCACATTACGTACCAGGACCATGTTCACGAACTTGCTGAGAGCACAGTAAAGTGCCTCAATCACGGCTTTGCTTCCCAGAATTGTAATCTTGAGCCGAACTCGCCTGATTGTGGACTTGAGCTTGGATCCCCAACTACCTTCATACCGAGGTTCAGAGTCTATTATATCACGCATTATATCTACAAGCTCGCTCTTCTCATGTGAACGAGGCTTCTTTGACTCATTCTGTAGAGAACTCTAAGTGATGGCCCATGCTTTCCCTTGCCCGTCGATCAACGTTTCCTAGATTGATGTTTTGAAACACACAACCCATCCTACCTTCTAGAAGTGTAGAGAATGGCAAACACCCATCTTGGCGAAAATGTCACCGTTTCTTGATCGACTGTGATTTCAACTCAATCCATCTCCTCCTCGCTCCGTGTCCTCATGCAGAAATTTTCCGGGCGTCATCGCCAAGCCTCCGGATGCAAGGGTCACCAAAGCTTGGCCCAGCGGGAGAGAGGTATTTATCAAGCCTAAATGATCTGATTAAAAAAATCTTTTTATCTGATTTCATTCACCTGAGGCTCCATTTCCTACGCTATGATCAATACGTGATTAATTGTGTCGTCCCTCGGGGGTCTCCGATGCTCCATTCTGCCAGTCTGTCGAGGCCATTATAATGGCTTCCACTCTCATGGGAGCGCGTCTGTACTCTCATTCGACTTGACAATTTTACCCAGTCACTTGTTTTCCGTATGAGGATCGTATCTTTCACGGGCGTCCTGCTTGCCGTGGCAACGTCTTTCGCCGCAGCGGACGATTACATCTGGCCTTCACGTTATGACGAGCTCGAAGACATCCTCTCGCTCCAAAGCGGATATCTAGGCAGGAACTTCTCCAGCGGTATGTGATGTCCCCTGTGCGAAGATCTCCCTCCCGCCATCCCTAATATCCCACCCAGCTGTCACACCGTGCACACAAGGCGGCAACATCAAGGGGCGTCAGAACGCCGCGGAATGGATCCGATCCGCCTTCCATGACATGATCACCCACGACTCGTCCCTCGGCACCGGCGGCCTGGACGGGTCGATCTGGTTCGAGCTCGACCGGGCGGAGAACGGAGCGCTCGCGTTCGAGAACACTTTCAACTTCTTCGCCTACCTGCACTCGCTGCGGGCGTCGGCCGCCGACCTCCTCGCCATGAGCGTCATCATATCCCACTCCGGGTGCAGCGGGACCACTAGGATTCCCTTCCGGGCTGGCCGCGTCGATGCCAGGGCGGCTGGACCGGCGGGCGTGCCTGAGACGGACACGCCGCTAGGGGCGATGCTGGAGCGGTTTGCGACGGCTGGGTACAGCCAGGAGGATATGATTACGCTGGTGGCCTGTGGACATACGCTTGGGGGCGTACATAGTCATGATCACCCTGACATCGTGCCGGGCGAGTCGGGGAATCGGTATAACGACACGGTGGTGAAGTTTGACACCACCGATGGGAAGTTTGATAACGCCGTTGCTGTTGAATACCTAAGCGACAATACGCAGAACCCGCTCGTCGTGGGTAAGAACGAGACCAAGAACTCGGACAAATGGATATTCAGCTCGGACAACAACGCGACCATCTCCAGATTGGCGGAGGACAACGCTGAGTTTGAGAAGACCTGCGCCAAGATTTTTGAGAGGATGATTGACACCGTTCCCTCCACCGTCGAACTATCTCAGCCAATTGAACCAACCGATATCAAGCCCTATATCACAGACTTGTATCTCAACGACAATGGCAAGCTCGTCTTTGCCGGACGGATCCGTGTTAGGACGACAGAAGGTGCCGCTGCGGGACGACTGGCCAGCGATCTTGATGTTCAGGTGCACCACGCTGTGAGGAGCAAGCGCTGGAGCTGCGCGCGGATCAACACTACGTATGCTGGGGATGCGCAGGGGCTCTACGGGGAGACATTTGCCTGGTATGAGTTTGGCATGGAGCTGAACGCGACCAAAGGGATCAGCAAGTTCAATATCGAGACTACGGTGCGAACTACAGGCGAGCGGATACTCTATGATAATGGAGGAGAAGGGTACCCCGTGACGGACGAGTTGCTGTACCAAAGGGCAGATTCCTGCGTGGCGAGGCAGGCTGTGAACGGAACGAGAGCGATGGAGGCGACGGTGGCTGTTCGCAAGGACCGGGCATCTCTTCCCTTGAGGCTGGAGCTTGCGAGATACACGAAAATGACGGGGCTCGTGGTGCGGGAATGGGAAGTCGAGACAATTCCGTTTGAGAAGACGGGGGAGACGAGGGGGGAGGATGATGATTGGGTTATCTTCAAAGCTCCGACGGGGCTCAAGACGGCCAGCTGGCTCACGTGGTTCGACATCATCCAGGACGGAAATGATGGGTCGAGGATTGAGTTTCTGAAGACGGAGGCATGCCCTCGTACGAGTTCATAATGAATGGACAATAATGGCATAGAGGCTACTTGCACCACTAGACATGAATATTAATCATAATATAGACCAAATGGAAAGCTGTCTAAGTATGAGATGCCTATGAGACTCACGGGAATACCAGCGAGGAGAAACAGTAAACTATTAACGTAAGTTTACTATGCAAATTACTCACCTTCATTACCAATAGCCCTGGGCTTCTAAGTTATGCATATCTCCAAGCCTTTCTAGTGGTAGGATAAGCGTTTGGCGACTATTTGCCCTTGGACTACAAGTTGCTCTCTTGTTCAATAGACACATGGCTGATTAGATCAACGCAGATCAACTCAGCGAGCAAGTCTTGGTAACAACTGCCCACCAACCTAGGAGACCAACTGGGAAATAGTATATCGTCAAAGGCTCGAAAAATACCGCAAGAAACCTACAGCCATAAAATCCTCTTTGTGTGCAGCCTATCTTATGTGGATGTTGAGGTGAGCAAGACTCTGCCAGGGCAAACTTCGCCACTGCCCAGAACTACACCGATACTTCCATGTCGATATCCCAATGGCTCTCTCGGTGTCTTCTGTGTCCTTGATAAACTAATGGAGAAATTACCTCACTGTGACTTCCAATGCAAAAGACATTGCCGATGCCTTCATTCGTTATCATATGATCGATTGTAAGCTATCGACAGTACTTTAGACTCTTGAACATATTCCCTAACAGACGAGCAGTTTTTGAGATACTAATAAACCCTTCCAATGAGTCTCAGCATCATTTCAAGTCGCTATCAGAAGACGAAATGCTCTGTTTTTTTTGTGTTTCTCATATAACGGTCGATTGTGATGGCTGCATCTGTTCCCTCTCGCTAAGATAATTGACTGGTCAACTTGATAATCAATGTTGATTAAACAATATCTCTGCTTGCATTCCAATCTCAAGTCTGCAAATTTCTTGCTTAAAATCGATTTGATTTGAATGTGGTTTGTCACGCCATGATATTAGTCGAGACGTGTCACATCTACCTCGCGAAGTAATAACACTCCGTAGCCTTTTTTTCTCTCCATTTTACAATGCCCCTAAGAATAAACCCACGGTCTAATCGTCCTATTGGTTAATTTCAAAACAGGCAGGCGCTATTTCAAGTATCCGTTTCGGGATTCCGTCAAGCATGTCAAGCCTTCGGTTGTAGAGGGCCCATGGAATTAGAGCTGTTAGAAAAGGTCGGATGATGGTTCGCCCCAGACCTGTGAGCCGTACAGGGTAGGCCATCATTCGCTCATCATACGAGCTTCTCAGTGACGTTGAAAGGGGAATGAGATGACATGTGACGTGGGATGTGCCTTTTCCTTGACGGAACGAGAAGGTCAGCGTGAATACCGTCAATGCATTTCCTGGCCCAATAAGGGGCAGAGCTAATTACGAACGCCGATTTCTTGGCCCAGCGAGGAAATCCCCTTCAGCCTTCTTGGCATCAATCCAAGTCTTGTTGGTTTGTCTTGCCTGTTCCAGCTTAAGGCCCATCAGTGGCCTTCCTAATCAGGCCCATCTTGAGACTGGCTTGTGACACGCTGCCCAGAGGATTCCCTTTCGCGGGACGGGCGATCCTGGCATGGTTTGGGTGGTGCTTCTGCTATGAGGGCCAAACGCGCGGCTTATTCTTAACCGAGTCGCCGCGAAGAGCCATGCCGTGAATTGATCTCTCTCTCGAGTTGATTTGGTGGTATGGTCTCGCTGTGGCCTAAGAAGCAGCATGTTTTAGAAGGCTCCAGAGCGTGCCGCGCTATCTAATTCCGCTTATAGGGCCTCACAGGGCCTAACTCCGCTGTAGGTTCAGCGCTGCAGATTCCAACTCGGTCGCCCGGACAGCAAAAGGCAGATTGGCTCCAGATTAAGGGAATGGACGGCTTTGCATCGTATTAATTCAGCTGCCGTACGTAATAACTTCCCACAGAGTTTAGTGACGACGATCGGCAGTGTCAGCCAGGCAGGGCTTGGTGGGAGAAGGCCCGAGGCGAAAGGCTCGAGTACAGGGGGTTCAGCCCACGATGCTGGCAGAGGTTTCAGACAGACCAGCCGTCACACCATGGGCTCTGTTTCCTTTTGTCTCTTGCTGGTTGTACTTGCCTCTCTGGTGAGCACGAGATGGGATGAATGTGCGTCCATGCGGGTGTCTGGCAAGCGCAGCCACGGCCTGAGGAGAGACGAGACGAGACGAGGCACATTCACAAACATGTCAAGATGGCATCGTCAGTGATCGACACGAATCACAAGGTCCTCCTGCATGGCATGACAGACCAAAGTCTGGGGTCGGGCAATTTTCCTGCACACGTTACATCACCCACTGGCCTCGCCTGCCCTCGCCGTGCTGGTGGTGTTTCAAGACCGCAGCCCCTGTTTCGTTTCACCTTGGCAGCTGCTGCATCAGGCAATCCATCGTCACGGCTGGAGCAATGCAATGTCCATCATTTTCATGCGTCCTGCCCTTATAAAACACCATCGTCGCAGGCCCCGTCTGGCTTCTGCTCGTCTCAGCTTCTGCTCTGTCCTCCAGCGTCTCTCTGCCGTCTCCTTCGTTCACCCACCTCCTTTGTTTCGATTCACCGCAATACCGCTTCAGGCTCGGTACACCTCTCTTACTGTCGTTTAATTCTCAATACAATGGCTCCTCTCCGCACCTTTCTCCTCCCCGCCTTGATGGCGGTCGCTGCCGTCCGTGCCGCAAACATCTCCGACTACGTGCCCAGCTGCGCCCCCAGCTGCATCAACGAGGCCGTCGCCGATCACTCGACCTGCGACCAGAGCGATGGCGCCTGTCTCTGCCGCGACATCTACTCTCTCAAGAGGCACAGCGAGAAGTGCCTGAAGAGCGGCTGCTCCGACGCTGACTACGGTGCGTACCATATCTTGACCTGGAGGAGCTGAAAGCTGACTATTGACAATAGGATCCGCCATGCTTGGCTTCGACAACTTCTGCAAGGACGTCAACAACGGTGGCGGCACTCCCAGCACCTCTGCCAGTGCCTCTTCGTCTGCTGCTGCCCCAACCAGCACCGACTCTGCCCCGACTACATCTGTCCCAGCGCCGTCCACAACCGCCGATCAGTCTTCCGCCCCTGCTCCCTCCACCACCGGCGGTTCGGCTCCTACATCAGCCTCTTCCTCCAGCGACGCAGCTCCTACATCAGCCTCGTCGGGTCCCTCGAGCTCCGGCTCGCCGTCTCCCTCTAGCAGCGGCTCTTCTGGCGATGCTTCTTCCACCCCCGCCAGCAGCACCGATGGCTCTGCTGCTCCCACCATTGCCTCTTCTTCATCTTCTGGCGGCAGCTCCTCTACCGCCTCCACCCTCATCACCTCATCTGCTACCACCGGTGGCAGCGGCCAGAGCACCTCCACTGGAAGCAGCCCTTCATCCACCTCATCCACTCCTCCCAGCGCTGGCTCCCAGCTCCAGTTCAGCGCCGGCCTCCTCGCTGGTGGTGCTATCCTGGCTGGTTTCCTGGCACTGTAAAGTAATATTCTAGTGCGGGAATTGATGGTCAGAAAAGAAGACCTCGGGTAGGACAACCCGTCATTATTTTCAATGTAGCCTTTCCCTATCGCTGGCGCGGGGGGGTGGCTATAGCCGTGGCAGAAGGATGGTGGCCCGGCTTGCTGTATAAAGCTGTCCATGTTGGAGCATCGTGTATATACTTTGAAAAATACCATGTCGTATAGAAAAAAGGTCAAATCACTCAGGTTAGGGATTGCATATGCCTTTAAGGTTGCATAGATTGCATCAAACCATTCAATATTTAACGCTCAAATTACTTGCGCCTGCGGGCTGTGTCTTTATGAATCATCTCCATCAAGTCTAGGACGGGGTTCGACGAATTACCATGCACTGCAAATCTATTCTCGATACTACTGAGAAGGAAATTCAATTTACAATCGGTACTCGAAGCCATGCTGTTTTCCAATTTACTCTTTTGGGGTCGCCGTTTGATTGAGTTCTTTACTTCAGGGCATAAAGTCGCGGTAACATCATCAAATGGCTTTCTTTTGGAGACCTGTCAAAATGAGTCAACTAGTAGACGCTATGTTAAGTGGGACAAATACAATAAACATCTCACGACAATCATTGTTAACACTCTAAAAGCTTTGAATTCACCAAGAAGGCTAGTTATGCCGAACAGAAGAGAACATGAAATCCAAAACACTGTAAAAAAGCCCTTCATCTATACCCTAGGTCAACACAACACAACACAACCAACATCACCATCTAACACCTCTATCAACCGCCTCGATCGCTCGTGTTGACAAAAGAAAACAACTATTACAGAAAACATTGAAAAGACCATTACAGTCGATGATGTTCCATTTATGTAGCGCGGACAGTCTTCCAGATGGTCCTCATGCGGGTGACCTGGCCAGCTGTGAAACCTGTTCGGCAAGTTCTACAGCACAAGTTAGTAACATTGATAACACTGAGAACGAAGAGACTGTGTGGATTCCTCACCCCATAGTGTACCCCATGTAGTTGTGGATAGGATCAGACCCGGCCTTGTTAGGGCAGCTATCCCGAGCAGCACAGGTCCAGTATGCATCCTTCTGGGCAGGCGTATCAGCAATACCATCACCCGCACCATCACAGCCACCCTCGAAGACGTGCTTGAGCCCCAGCCAGTGCCCAACCTCGTGGATCAAGGTCTTGCCCTTGCCGTTCTTGACCTTGTCGTCGTTGCTGACGGGGACCGTGGACCGGATGATGGTGCAGCCGTCCTGGTAGAAGTTGGTGCCGCCCGTGGCGTGGGAGCTGGTCGGGTAGTAGCAGTAGCCCGTGGTGCCCCCCGTGCCGATCTTGTCGATGACGTAGACGTTGAGGTCGCGGTAGGCGCCCTTGCGGAGCTTCTTCTTCATGTTGAGCTGGTCGTGGTCGGTGGCCCAGTTGCTGTTGGCCGTCTTGGACTTGCCGGCGAGGGTCATGGTCCAGCCGTGCTTCTTCCACTCGTCTCTGATCATGGCAAATTGGCGGTTGATCA